ACTGGTGTAAAACATGTTTTAAAGTCAGACTTGGTGTTCTCCTGTCAGACTGAAAGAACAAACAGAATGAACATGAGTGTAGTGTGAACATGTGGAGAACATCTGTCCAGTCAGGGGCAGCAGTCGAGTCACACTCAGGTCCTCATCGTTCAAGTCACTTTGGACTGGTCTGAGTCGAGTCTTTAGGTCCCTCAGTCGAGTCTTTAGGTCCCTCAGTCGAGTCTTTAGGTCCCTCAGTCGAGTCTTTAGGTCCCTCAGTCGAGTCTTTAGGTCCCTCAGTCGAGTCTTTAGGTCCCTCAGTCGAGTCTTTAGGTCCCTCAGTCTGAGTGTGGAGTACCTTTGAGTGTCCAGGTTCTCCTGAGCAGGATCCTGGCTCAGATCTGGAGAAGGTCCAAACAGAGACTCCTGATCTCCACTAAAAACACAGATTTGAGATTTTCAGTCCAGGGTCCAGTGAGGAGCCACGGCTCCAAGTCTCATCCCATTTTCTTCAAGGATGAACATTCAGCCAATCAGAGGCGAGAATGGACAGGACCTTCATCTTTTTGTCTCACTAATATAAGACGAGTCTCTGCTGAGACTCACATGAGCAAAGGACGATGTAAAAACATCCTCCTCAGAGTCTGCAAATCTGATCTTTACTCAAAATCAATCACCTCGTTCCCACGCACTGTCAGAAGAGTTCTGATGGTTTCCAAAGATCCAGCTGAGTTATGGATACTCCTGATTTAGTCTTTGTTTTGTCCTGGTTCAGTCCTGGTTTAGTCCAGGTTTAGTCCTGTTTAAGTCCTGGTTCAGTCCTGGTTTAGTCCTGGTTTAGTCCTAGAATCACTGTTGGTAAAGTTGAGTGGCTCATTGATCATAAAGTCTCCATAACTACAACAGTTTTATCAGGAGGTTCATGTTGGTGCAGAGGAGCTCACAGAGGGAAGGTCCTGGGAACACTAACATGCTTTGTCTGTATCAAAAAGTCTTCACACTTTATGCTCTAAAAGGATCATTTTAAATATTATTTTTGTTTTAAGCTCTGAGACAGACTCCAGACCTGAGCCAGCCCCCAGAGGAATGTCAGTCAAGAGCGACTCCTCCATGGACAGGCCCATTTTATTCAATAAAGAGTCGCCCTCGACCAATCAGAGGTGAGAACAAACCACAGAGCTACAATAAGGCAAATAATTATAACTATACAGAAAATAACACCAGTGATAATAAAGATCTGGTCCCTTTTCTGGCAGCTCAAACAAAAGAACAGGAGTGTGTGAGTTTAACTGATATTACAGACTGGAATTTAAGAGTTCTAAGTTGAAGCAGGACTCACGTGGCCTTTGTGAGTTTGACTTTGACTAGAAGTAAAGTTTTGGGGCCCCACTCAACAAATGTTGAGAAATATTATCAATCCAATAGAATCAATGATCTAAGTGAATGTATTAATAATCAATTAAACTGTTGTTCTGAAGGGTTTGTAAATTCTCGTCCTTAATCAGTGACTCACATCTGTAAATAACATCACTATTCACCAAAGCAAACTGTGTTTTTTTTATTGACCAAGTTAAACTGAAGCATTTAAATATGAAATATGTAAATGAGTGTAGACTCGTCTAGGCTGGAGTCTAAAGATCTGAGATTAGGTACAACTTTAAGAGTTCTAATCGATCGAAATGTGTTTAAACTGATCAGTGAATCATTGTGTGAAGCATGTGCATACGACCAGGAGAGAGGAGATGTTCGTCTGAACAATCAAACGAGTAATTTGGATAAAACACATCAAAAGACGGGCACAGATTTAGAAGAGAGAACTTGCAGTTTTCACTTGTCGGGCTTTGTCTCTCTGGAATGTTTTTGTCCAGAGGAAAAGATAAGGATCTGCTCTGTGTCTGACTCAAAGACTGAGCTCCTCCTGGAGCTGCACAGAAGTGAACAGACTGGAGTCTCCTCCACGATAACAGAGTCTATGTCTTTTTATGACCACACACCTACATTTTAATGGGAAAGGTTAAACCAATGAGGTGCAGTCTTGGCTAAAGTTGAGTGATGATGAGGAGCATGTTTAGTGAAATTCCTCACATTTGTGTTATGAACCAAGAGTTTTACACAAATAAAAGATCGTCACATGACATTTACAGATGAATATTCAGAAAACACTGACAATATTCACAGCCTGATCAGGTCACACTGTTCCTCTTCTTTCTCTGGAGAAAGTCTTTTAGCTGAGCTTGTTTGATCCTGATCCTGATTTAGTCCTGGTTTAGATCTGGTTTAGTCCTGGTTTAGTCCTGGTTCAGTCCTGGTTTAGTCCTGGTTTAGTCCTAGAATCACTGTTGGTAAAGTTGAGTGGCTCATTGATCATAAAGTCTCCATAACTACAACAGTTTTATCAGGAGGTTCATGTTGGTGCAGAGGAGCTCACAGAGGGAAGGTCCTGGGAACACTAACATGCTTTGTCTGTATCAAAAAGTCTTCACACTTTATGCTCTAAAAGGATCATTTTAAATATTATTTTTGTTTTAAGCTCTGAGACAGACTCCAGACCTGAGCCAGCCCCCAGAGGAATGTCAGTCAAGAGCGACTCCTCCATGGACAGGCCCATTTTCTTCAGTAAAGAGTCGCCCTCGACCAATCAGAGGTGAGAACAAACCACAGAGCAACAATAAGGCAAATAATTATAACTATACAGAAAATAACAACAATCAAACAAAAGAACAGGAATAAGTGAATAATTCAGGCAAATATGAACTAAAATGCACTCACGTGTATAAAATATATGTCTTAATAAAGTAATAAAATTTATATTATAATTAATAATGTAAAAAATGTAAGTTAATGAGAATGTGAACTGTAAATGAAATGAAATAAAAATACTAACACTTGAGTCGGGGCAGAGGTGTCCACCACACTCAGGGACAAATCATTTTTGAGCTTTGGAGATTTAGATTTTACTGAAGAAAAAAACTTTTAAATGTTATTTTTGTTTGTTTTAAGCTCTGAGACAGACTCCAGACCTGAGCCAGCCCCCAGAGGAATGTCAGTCAAGAGCGACTTCTCCATGGAGCTGCCCATTTTCTTCAGTAAAGAGCCGCCCTCGGCCAATCAGAGGTGAGAACAAACCATGAAGTAACAATAAGACAAATAATTATAACTATACAGAAAATAACACCAGTGATAATAAAGATCTGGTCCCTTTTCTGGCAGCTCAAACAAAAGAACAGGAGTGTGTGAGTTTAACTGATATTACAGACTGGAATTTAAGAGTTCTAAGTTGAAGCAGGACTCACGTGGCCTTTGTGAGTTTGACTTTGACTAGAAGTAAAGTTTTGGGGCCCCACTCAACAAATGTTGAGAAATATTATCAATCCAATAGAATCAATGATCTAAGTGAATGTATTAATAATCAATTAAACTGTTGTTCTGAAGGTTTGTAAATTCTTGTCCTTATCAGTGACTCACATCTGTAAATAACATCACTATTCACCAAAGCAAACTGTGGTTTATTTATTGACCAAGTTAAACTGAAGCATTTAAATATGAAATATGTAAATGAGTGTAGACTCGTCTAGGCTGGAGTCTAAAGATCTGAGATTAGGTACAACTTTAAGAGTTCTAATCGATCGAAATGTGTTTAAACTGATCAGTGAATCATTGTGTGAAGCATGTGCATACGACCAGGAGAGAGGAGATGTTCGTCTGAACAATCAAACGAGTAATTTGGATAAAACACATCAAAAGACGGGCACAGATTTAGAAGAGAGAACTTGAAGTTTTCACTTGTCGGGCTTTGTCTCTCTGGAATGTTTTTGTCCAGAGGAAAAGATAAGGATCTGCTCTGTGTCTGACTCAAAGACTGAGCTCCTCCTGGAGCTGCACAGAAGTGAACAGACTGGAGTCTCCTCCACGATAACAGAGTCTATGTCTTTTTATGACCACACACCTACATTTTAATGGGAAAGGTTAAACCAATGAGGTGCAGTCTTGGCTAAAGTTGAGTGATGATGAGGAGCATGTTTAGTGAAATTCCTCACATTTGTGTTATGAACCATTAAGAGTTTTAGACAAATAAAAGATCGTCACATGACATTTACAGATGAATATTCAGAAAACACTGACAATATTCACAGCCTGATCAGGTCACACTGTTCCTCTTCTTTCTCTGGAGAAAGTCTTTTAGCTGAGCTTGTTTGATCCTGATCCTGATTTAGTCCTGGTTTAGATCTCGTTTAGTCCAGGTTTAGTCCTGGTTTAGTCCAGGTTTAGTCCTGGTTTAGTCCTGGTTCAGTCCTGGTTTAGATCTCGTTTAGTCCTGGTTCAGTCCTGGTTTAGTCCTGGTTTAGTCCTAGAATCACTGCTGGTAAAGTTGAGTGGATCATTGATCATAAAGTCTCCATAACTACAACAGTTTTATCAGGAGGTTCATGTTGGTGCAGAGGAGCTCACAGAGGGAAGGTCCTGGGAACACTAACATGTTTTGTCTGTATCAAAAAGTCTTCACACTTTATGCTCTAAAAGGATCATTTTAAATATTATTTTTGTTTTAAGCTCTGAGACAGACTCCAGACCTGAGCCAGCCCCCAGAGGAATGTCAGTCAAGAGCGACTCCTCCATGGAACAAGGCATTTTATTCAAAAGAGAAACGCCCTCGGCCAATCAGAGGTGAGAACAGACCACAGACATTATTTTTAATCAATTAAATTTTGTATTTGTGAATGTAAAAGCCTCAGCTTAAACAACAGACTTGTTTAGATTTTAACCTTGTAAGACACATGGAATAGTTTTGTTTCATGAGGTTTTCTGACCTGAAGGCTTCACTGGACAGGACAGTTAGTGTGAAGTGGGGACAGATTCTGCTCCTAGTCCACGTCCAACTTCTGTTAAAACTGATCCTGAGGTGTTCCCAGTCCAGAGACATGGTCCCTCCAGTGTGTCCTGGGTCTTCTCCTCCTGCTGGGACATGAACACCTCCTGAGGGACACGTCCAGGAGACATCAGAACAGACGTCCTCCCCTCAGACGCTCCTCTCCACGTGGAGGAGCAGCGGCTCTACTCCGAGCTCCTCACTCTGTCTTTAAGGGAGACGCCCGGCCGCCCTGTGGAGGAAACTCATTTGTGTCTCTTGTATCGTGGATCTGGTTCTTCGGGTCATGACCAGAGGTGAGGGGAGGAACAGAGACTGACGCTAAATCCAGACTCAGCTCCTCTTCACCACAACGACCGATACAGAGACCACATCACTGCCCACGCTGCACCTGTCCACCTGTCAATCTGCCCACGCTGCACCTGTCCACCTGTCAATCTGCCCACGCTGCACCTGTCCACCTGTCAATCTGCCCACGCTGCACCTGTCCACCTGTCAATCTGCCCACGCTGCACCTGTCCACCTGTCAATCTGCCCACGCTGCACCTGTCCACCTGTCAATCTCTCGCTCCATCCTCCCGTCACTCGAGAACAAAACCCCGACAGACTTGAACTCCTCCACTTGAGGCAGAGACTCTCCACTCGCCCGGAGACGACAAGACGCCTTTTTCCAGACGAGAACCACGACCTCAGTCCTCAGTCTGCTTCTCTCAGACCATCCACAGAGACACCAGCCTCACCTGTTCTTATATTTACCCCAAATAATTAAGGTGAAATCTGACTATCCTGTGCAGAGCTTGTCCCCACTTACAATGAGAGTTTATCAGACGGCTGAAGCCAAAACTACAGAGCCTCAGCTTCACAAAGAGTCCAGTCATGTGTTTCTGCTCCAACGGGTTCAGAAACAGATTTGATTTTAATTGAGGGTTATTTTAGTCTAATGTTTTTGGACAAATAGGCTGGAATGGTAAGGTTTTTTTGTTTTGTTTTTTGTCTAGGGACAAACCTCGCACCTCTGTGGCAGCTAGAAATTCTGCGATGGAAACCATTCCAGAAGGAGATTCTACTTATAAGAGGTACAAAAACTGTAACATTAATTTAATTGGAAACCTTGTTTAATTTAAGAGATTCTAGAGAGAAATAAAACTGTCCTTTTCTTCTCTGCAGTTCGATAGAGACTGACAATGGATTTGTTTTTAAGGTGAGAGTTTAAATCTGTCAAACTCTCTGACACTAGGCGACACATTTTGTTCCAAAATACCTTGATAGCTTTGAGATTTCGTTGTACCTTGAACAGATTCAAGACGCCCTCTGTCAGATGCAGCAAAACAGCCCCAGAACAAAACCAAGCCTCCTCCGTGCTTCGCAGTAGGGACAGTGTTCTTTTCTTGGTCTGCTTCATTTTTGCGTCTGTGAGCATAGAGCTGATGTGTCTTGCCAAAGAGCTTCAGTTTTGTCTCATCTGTCCAAAGAACATTCTCCCAGAAGCTTTGTGGCTTGTCAATCTGCATCGTGACAAATTCCAGTCTCACTTTTTTATGATTTGGCTCTCAGCAGTGGTGTCCTCACATGAAGTTCACATTGACTCACACTGTGATGGATGGTGTGATCTGACACTGATGTATTTTGCTCTTCAAGTTCACATTTAATTTGTTTGGAGGTTGTTCTGGGCTCTTTGGTTCCATTCGTATGATCCGTCTCTTCAGTTCATCATCAGTTTTCCTCTTGCGGTCGCATCCAGGGAGGTTGGCTTCAGTCTTGTGAACCTTAAACTTCTGAAGAACATGTGTAACTGTAATCACAGGAACATAAATAAATAAAAAATGGAAACTCAGTCCTTCAATACTACTTTTTGTTATGAATCAACTGAAACTCTACCAAAGCTGTACTTGAACTCAATCTGATTTTTACTCTTATTTTACAGAAACTGGAGGAGCGCATTTTAAGTTTTGTGCAAGTTGAGCTGAGTAAGTTACAGGAAGTTCTAACGGCAGAGGAACCTTTGGCACTGGAGGAGGACGACGAGGCAGGAATTAAAGAGGCCTTTCTGAAGATCGCCCTGAACTTCCTGAAGAGTTTGAAGCAGCACAAAATGGCCGAGCGTCTGGACAACAGTGAGAAGCTTCAGTCTGAGGTCTCGTTATGCTTCTGCCAGTGTGTGGTTTCTTATTTTCATGTCTGTTCCAGGACAATGTGCTTCCAAATGTCAAAGTGAACTGAAGTGTGATCTGCAGCGGAGGTTCAGCCGTGTGTTTGAGGGCGTGGCTAAAGCAGGAGACTCCGCCCCCCTGAACCAGATCTACACAGAGCCCTACATCACAGAGGGCGGAGCCTCAGAGGTCAACCAGGAACATGAGGTCAGACTCGTGGAGACGGCGTCCAGGAGACCGTCCACTCTAGAGACCGTCACATATGAAAACATCTTTAAATCACAATCACCACAGCCAATCAGATTTGTGCTGACGAAGGGTGTGGCTGGTGTGGGGAAAACAGTGCTGACTCAGAAGTTCAGTCTGGACTGGGCTGAAGGCCGGGCCCACCAGGACCTGCAGCTTGTGTTCCCGTTCACTTTCAGAGAGCTCAATGTGCTCAGAGGCACACGGTTTAGTCTGGTGGGTCTGCTGCATCACTTCTTCAGTCCATCCAAAGTTCTCCGCAGCCTCCAACGGCTCCAGGTGCTCTTCATCTTTGACGGTCTGGACGAGTGCAGACTTCCTCTGAACTTCAGTCAAACCCGGGTCCTGAGCGACCCCACAGAGTCCGCCTCAGTGCACGTGGTGCTGGTGAACCTCATCAGGGGGAACCTGCTTCCCTCTGCTCGCGTCTGGATAACCACACGACCCGCCGCGGCCAATCAGATCCCTGCTGAGTGCGTCTCCATGGTGACAGAGGTGCGCGGGTTCACCGACCTGCAGAAGGAGCAGTACTTCAGGAAGAGATTCAGAGACGAAGCCGACACAATCATCTCCCACATCAAGAGCATCCGCAGCCTTTACATCATGTGCCACATGCCGATCTTCTGCTGGATCCTCTCCACAGTTCTACAGAAGCTTCTGGAACAAACAGAGAGATCAGAGCTGCCCTGGACTCTCACACAGATGTACATCCACTTCCTGGTGGTGCAGGCCAAAGTCCAGAACATCAAGTATCAACAGGGATCAGGGGTGGACCTTCACTGGACTCCAGAGACCAGGGAGATGGTTCGGTCTCTTGGAAAAGTGGCCTTTGAGCAGCTGCAGAAAGGAAACCTGATCTTCTACGAGAGTGACCTGAGCGAGTGTGGGCTGGACGCTGCAGCGGCCTCAGTGTACTCCGGAGTGTTCACACAGGTCTTTAGAGAGGAGCCAGGCCTGTACCATGACAAGGTCTACAGCTTCATCCATCTGAGTGTGCAGGAGTTTCTGGCTGCTCTTCACGTGCATCAGACCTTCTTCAGCTCTGGAGTGAACCTGCTACAGAAGAGACGGCTTTCTCTGTATCTAGGCATAGGAAGAACAAATACTGAAGCAGCCTTCTACCGCTCTGCTGTGGACCAGGCCTTACAGAGTCCAGATGGACACCTGGACCTGTTCCTGCGCTTCCTCCTGGGGCTGTCTCTGGAGGAGAACCAGAAGCTGCTGCGAGGTCTGACGACTCACAAAACAAGTTCACAAAACAACCAGATGACTATTGACTACATCAACCAGAAGCTGGATGAAGGCTTTTCTCCAGACAGGAGCCTAAACCTGCTCTCTACTGTCTGAATGAACTCAACGACCACAGTCTAGTGCAGCAGATACAGGAGGCCATGAGAACAGGACTTCTCTGTAGTAAAAGTATGTCCCCTGCTGATTGGTCGGCCCTGTCCTTCCTCCTACTGTCTTCAGACTCAGATCTGGAAGTGTTTGACTTGAGGAAATATTGTGCCTCAGAGGACGCTCTCCTGGGTCTGCTGCCGGTGGTCAGAGCCTCCACCAAAGCCCTGTGAGTCCAGACTGTATTTAAACTCTTGTGTGGAGGTTCTAGTCTCTAATGTTCCTCTCTCTCTCCTCAGTCTTTGTGGCTGTGGCCTGTCGCCTCGCAGCTGTGGTCCTCTGGCCTCAGTCCTCAGCTCCTCCAGCCTCTCACACATCTGGATCTCAGTGACAACGACCTCCAGGACTCAGGAGTGAAGCTGCTGTGTTCCAGACTGGAGCGTGCCCCCTGCAGACTGGAGACTCTCAGGTGACAATAACCCCTCCCTCTTGAGTCTGGAGGTGTTACACACTGTGTCTTATTCCTGTTCCTGTGTGCCTCAGTTTGTCTGGATGCCTGATCACAGAGGAGGGCTGTGCACATCTGGCCTCGGTTCTGAACTCAAACCCCTCAATTTTGAGAGAGATGGATTTGAGGTACAACCATCCAGGAGAGAGAGGGGCACAGCTCCTGCAGGCTCTGACCGAGGAGCCCCGCTGCAGCCTACGCACAGTCAGGTATGAACCAAATGGAAACAAGTGCTCTGATCTTCTCAGACGGCTGCCTCCATAGCTCTGCTCTGGAGAACAGTTCTGATTCTGCCTTTCTTTCTTCAGACTGGACCCCCGTGGACCACAGTGGTTAAAACCAGGTGTGAAGAAGTGTAAGTACCAAGAGGACTACAATATATCCCTGTTTATATAATGAGTACTACAGTACTTCAGTACTACAGTACTTTCATTATGATGTTTTACTGTTCTCTGTTCTGTTCACCAGACTTCGTTGGTCTCACGTGGGACTTGAACTCTGTCCACCCCAGACTGAGGTTCTCTGATAAGAAAACCGCAGTGATGTGTGTGTGTGACGATGAGCCTTACCCAGATCATCCCGACAGGTTCGACTGGTTCTATCAGCTGCTGTGTGTGCAGAGGAGCTGTGCAGGCGCAGCTACTTCCTGGTGCAGTGGAGCGGACGTGTTCATGTGGCTGTGACGTACAGAGGACTGCAGAGGAAAGGGAAGGGACCTTCCTCCGTTTTAGGAGGAAATGACCAGTCCTGGAGCCTCTTCTGCTCTGATGAAGGCTTCTCTGTTTGGCACAATAATCAGGAGACAGTCCTGCAGAAAGAACCCGACTGTCGGACTGTGGGGGTGTACGTGGACTCAGAGGCCGGGGTCCTGTCCTTCTACTGTGTGTCCGACACTCTGACCCTGCTCCACAGCTTCAGCACTGACTTCACTCAGCCGCTGGTCCCTGCCTTTGGTTTCATGTTCAACTCTCAGGGCTCATCAGTGATTCTGTGTCCACAACCAGACAACAACCACTATATATAACTTGGGACTAAAGAACTAAAGGACAAATACATGAGTACTTGATGTCTGAGGGGTGTAACGCTAAACATTTTTAGCAGAGTTCTTTATTTATGAGACTTTGCAACATTGTCAGTATTGTCACCTCCTTAAATGTCCTGCGATGTGTAAAATAGTTTAATTCACTTGTTCTATTAACAGTTGTAATACATGTAAATGATTAATAATAAAACTGCAGTGGAAACTTAATACAAACCAGAAGTAACATTGTAAATAACCTTTTTTGGCCTAATATTTGGACATTTGATTCATCAAAATCATTCATTTGTATTATCCAGACTTTAGTCAAACTTTGGGGGAATAATCCAAGTGTTTCCACAAACCTACTGTGTTCTGTTTATTATTTAATATATAAATAACTTCTCCCTAAACTTAATTAGACTAATTTAATTAGACATAAAAAAGAAGTGTCACACCACAGGATACAAAACGGAATTTGTGGTAAATAAAAGATAAATGTAACATGACATGTTGGTCAGAAACCCTAACCCAGTTATTGCAGTTACTTGAGCAGCCCAGTCGTCGTCTGGGAGGGACACTCCACCTCTGTCCTTTGGAGAACACAACACATTTTGATTTGAACATCTGAAGTGGGTTGGGTGGAAGTGTGATCCCCAAATACTTATTACGCTTAAATGATGTTGTGAAGTTGTGTTGGCCGTGTTCCTGATAGCATCATGGATTCAGACTTTGATTATTTTAAATCCAGAGATGGGCCATAATCATCTGGGCATTTCAGCAATGCCAGGATGGACACAAATTGGTCCTCCAAATACAACAGCACATTGTCCACAGATAGAGCAATTCTGAGCTGAGTTTCGCTCTCATCTCTTAAACCATGAATGTGGGGGTTTGGTCTCACTGCCTCTGCAAATGGCTCGATATGTGTCTCGGGTGTAGTCGGTCTACTCGGTCAAAGGCTTTCTCATCATCTAAACTGAGAAGCACTGATGTTTGTTTTCATGAAATGACAAGTGATCGTAGATTTAGAGTCCTCCTCATGCTGTTTGAACCATAACGACAACTGATAAAACCAGTCTGATCTGATCTCACCAGTCGTCTTATACACGTTTGTATTTTTTTGGCCTCAGTCCTAGTTAAGATTTTTAAATCAACATATATATATATATATATATATATATATATATAATAAAAGATTTATTGTTCTGTATCCTGTTCATAATGTGGGGTCTTTACCTTCTTTCTTTATCACTGTTATCAAAGCTTCTGACCACTAGTGGGCACTGGTGAGTTCATTAATCGTTTCCGTTTTATCTGGTTTGTCTTGAATTTCATATAAAGAAGTATAATAGCTGCAAAGGCCTCTGCTGTATCCTTTGGACGTCTTACTAGATCTTGTACTGCATGATAAGGGTGATCTCTTTTAAATCATTAAGTAAGTACAAGCTCCTCCATTGACTCCTGGATCATGATCACCTGTCATGCAGACCTTTGTATGTGCGACAGGGAGCACCCTGTCTGATACTGTGGGCAGTGAGGTAGGACCCCCCAAGGAACAGTCCTGTCTCCACTTCTGTTCTCCTCTGATTTCAGTACAGCTCCGAGTCCTGCACCTGCAGAAGTTTTCTGACTCTATAGTGACAGGGTGTATCAGAGATAAACAGGTGCTGGGACAGGTGCTGGGACAGGTGCTGGGACAGGTGCTGGAGGACAGGACACTGATTGTAAACTTTGTGGACTGCTCCCAGACAAACCATCTGCTCCTGAACGTCGATAAGACCAAGGACCTGATGAAGACTTGAGGAGGAAGAAGAAACCAGAGGAGCCGACACCATCGTCACCATCATCAGGACCATGAGGTGGAAACAGTGACTGATACAAGAACCTCAGCGTCCGGGTGAAAAACTGACTGGACTGGAGGGACGACTGTGATGCTGCGTTCAAGAAGAGCACGAGGAGACTCGACTTCCTGACAAAGCTCAGGTCTTTCACTGTGCAGAAGGTTCTGGAGATGTTCTCTCAGTCTGTGGAGTCTGGACTTGGCTCTGGTCTGTGGAGGAGCAGCTCCAGGAAAAGAAACATTAGACGGATCGACAAATTAACCCTAAAACTGCTCACGTGATCAACTGTGAGCTGGAGACATTTATCACAGTGAGAAACAGATAATACTCCCTACAACTGTACAACTCACCCTTATGGAACAGATAATACTCCCTACAACTGTACAACAACTCAGCCTTATGTGTGAAGAATCCCTCAGTTGTCCAGGTCAAATTTATGTCGATGAGAAAATTCAGTTTGTCAATACACTTGTTTACAGTTTCTGTTTGTTAGTTCGGCCTATTGACCTGTGCAGGGTGTGAGGTCGAATTAGCAGAACTCTCTAGAACAGGGGTCAGCAACCCGCGGCTCCGGAGCCGCATGCGGCTCTTTAGCACTTCCCTAGTGACTCCCTGGAGCTTTTTCAAAAATGAGTGAAAATGGAAAAGGAATGATTTTTTTGGTTGTTGTTTTAATCTGGTTTGTTTCGGGGTAAAACCCTCGTTCATCTGGTCATGGATCTGATCCATCATCTGTGTGTGAATGAAACACATGAAAAGTGTTTCAGCAGAACAAACAGATGAGCTGAAGCTGAAGCGGGGGGTGGTGTCCACCTCCACCTGAGAAGAACTTTCCCCGAAAAAACAAAAACAAACAAAAAAAAACACGTGTGTAGACGGACGCTCACAACAACATATAACGAACCAAACGGGATTCACGCTTCTGTCCGGACGCTGCTCCACCTCTGAACCAGCCGCGGTCGAGCACAGAGGACCAGAGCAGCCGGACCTGTGGTCCACAGAACATTCTCACTTTTCCCACACGGAACCAGTGCGCAGACGACTGCACTGAAGCACTCGGACCCAGTTCTTTGCGCTCTGGTCTTGCTCGTCCCCGTCTGGAACCAGGACATGGAGGACGAAGCCTCCGGACCATCTGACCAACACTGGACCCTCAGCCCCGTCTGGAGGAGCTGCTCCTGTGTGTTTCTGCTGCTGAGCTCAGAGCTTCTGCTTCGGGCTGATGTTGTGTACAAAGTTCTACATGCTGCTGTTTTCTGAGTCTCCTGCACGATCAGAAGAAATGCGACTGCTGCTCTGAATGTTTCCATCATCGTCGTCATAGCAACAGGTAAATGTCGGTCGCACTTTCAGCGCATCAGCTCCTAAAACTCTGTTTATCTCAGTTTACACGCAAACGTGAAACCGGAGTTTTCCAAAATCTCCACTCCAGCCGGAGTTTTTACAAAGACTCGTTTTCAGAGGTGAATTCTCTGTTTGCGTGTAAACGATGTAAACAAACGAAGGGAAATGTCTCCAAATTTTTTTTTAAATACCCATGTACGTGTAAACGGAGCCTAAGAGGGGTTTGTGTATCATGATGTTCATTTTGTATTTGTAGCCGACTTAGTCATTTTAATAGTCGGTTTATAAAGCTCATACACCGACAGCCTGTGTTGCCTTCATATTTGGCTTATATGAGGCTTTTCATTTTTTGCGGCTCCAGGCAGGTTTGGTTTTTGTTTTTTTGGGCCAATATGGCTCTTTGAACATTTTGCGTTGCCGACCCCTGATCTAGAGAATTCTCTAGAGAACTGAACTGTCACAAATCTGTCTGATCAAATCTGCCAACTGCTGGAAATCTGTTTAAATACCACTTATTTCCAGTTCAGAGGGTAACATACCATTTATATGTTTTCTTGTTATATTTTATTTTAATTTTTTTTTATTTGTGATGCTCTCTTGTCCAAATAATTTCCCTTGTGGATCAATAAAGTTTGTCTGAGTCTGATAAACAGTAAATCAGCACAGATCCAGACTGAGGCAGGAAACGTTTCTATTAAAAGTCACAGATTTGGAGTCAGATCTGGTTTATGTTTCATGATTTTTTTTTTTTTTTTACAAAACATAGAAAAACACATTTAAACATTTTCTACACAAACTAAAGAAGGCGAGGCCCACGTCACAGAGCGGCCGAGAGTCTGAAGGTCTGAGGGTCTGAGGAGGATGTGAGGGTCTGAGGTCCTCTGGGTCTGTGGAGGCGGCGCTGCGGTCGGTCGAGATCAGAAAATGGGGTTTAACGCGTCGTACAATCTGTGAACGGCCACTTCCACCATCTCCCTCAACGTCTCGTCTTCTTCACAAACGACAGACTGCGACGAGAAGACACGAGTCACAGAGGAAGAGGAGGAGGAGAAGAGGAAAACAAACTTATCTACAACAAGATGACAAGTTCAGAGAGGAGGAGGAGGAGACGGACACAAACGACAGACTGAACAAAGAAGACAGGAGTTAGAGGAAGAGGAGAAGCACGAGGAGAGGAAGAAGGAGGAGAGAGCAGAGAGACAAACTATCACCTGCAGGAGGAAGAGGAGAGAGTGAGAGGAAAGAAAGGAAGAGAGAGAGAGACAGGAGGAGAGGAGGAGAGGAGATGATGTCATAGAAGAGAAGGAACAGGCAGACAGGATGAGAAGGAGAACAGATTAAAAGAGAAGAGAGCAGACAGGAGCAGACAGGAGCAGACAGGAGGTGACAGGAGCAGACAGGAGCGGACAGGAGCAGACAAGGAGCAGACAGGAGCAGACAGGAGCAGACAGGAGCGGACAGGAGCAGACAGGAGCAGACAGGAGCAGACAGGAGAGACAGGAGCAGACAGGAGCAGACAGGAGCAGACAGGAGGTGACAGGAGCAGACAGGAGCAGAGACACACCCTGGTGCGCGGGTCGACTGCAGCTGTGGCCTGTTCCACCGTCACTTTGAGTTTTCCCTCAGAGAAACTGACACAGCCCTCGCCAAACATGTCACTGAAACACAGAGCGGGAGGGCATCAGGGTTAAGTCCTGGTCTAGTCCTGGTCTAGTCCTGGTCTAGTCCTGGTCTAGTCCTAGTCTAGTCCTGGTCTAGTCCTGGTCTAGTCCTGGTCTAGGACTCACTTTAACATGAGTGCGAGTCTCTCTGGAAAAACATCCTCTGGGTCTGATGTTTCTCTGCGTCCCTCCAGATCTGAAACACAAACGACAGAAACGTCGACAAGAGAAACACCTGACCCCGCCCACAACACTTCACACAGAGGAGGGCGGGGTCTGGGGGAGGCGGGGGGAGGAGGGCGGGGTCTGGAGGAGGCGGGGTCTGGGGAGGGCGGAGGCGGGGTCTGGGGGAGGGTGGGCGGGGTCTGGGGGAGGGCGGGGTCTGGGGAGGGGGCGGGGGGGAGGCGGGGTCTGGGGGAGGGCGGGGTCTGGTGGTATAAGGAACAGTGTGATTAGTCTAACGCTGCGTTCAGACCGGAGCGTCAAAAAATGAACTGGACGACTCTAGTTGGAGCCTTTGCAGTGAGTTCATCTCCGACGTTCACCTTGGACGCCGTGGACCAATGGGAGAAAAATACTAATAATACTATACTTTAATAACTATAACGTTGCCCCGGAAACAAGTGACATTTCAAGTTTTTTCCTGGAATGACGAACCAGACTGAGAGAGACTAGTGTTTTTATTACATAAAAGCCATCAGCGGAGAAGATCGACTCAGCGACTGCGGCGTTTATATTTATGCTCCACTAATGACACTGGTCTAGTCCTGGTTCAGTCTTGGTAATCGGCTCGACGGTTGTGGTGTGTTTATATTTATACTCTGCTGATGTTTGTGGCTCCCAGCCCCGGTTTTCAGGTTTTTCTCTTTCTTCTCCTTCTCCCGGATAATAATGTTGCAACATCACTGTATACTCGTCCCTGACTGGATGACGCGGCACATCTGACGCCAAAAGTTCTGCATTTTCAACCTACGATGCCAATGCCCTAGAGCGTTGATGCCTGAACGCTCAAGACGCGCCGCATCAACATCAGATTCTCGCAGCAGTGACGCCTGAAGATGCGAGTCCACACAGACTGTGTGTAAACTGGACGCCCTGACGCTCCGGTCTGAACACAGCATGACAGGTTTATATATTATATATATATATATATAAATATATATATACACGTTATACACACACACATAAACACCCAGGTGTTTGTGTGAGAAACACCAGGCTGTGATAAACTTAGATGTTTTTGAACACAAAACTGTAAATGTGACAAAAAAAATGACTGAGAAATAATGTTAACAAAAATATGTCTACACAGTTTAGGACAGAGGTTGGCAAACTTTCTGGCTCACGGGCCACATAGGGTCCTAAAGTTTGATTGAAGGGCCGGACAGAAGACAGGACATAACGTGTTGAAGAGCTCAGATTCATTACATTCATATTCACATTTATCTAAGACTTCAGACGCGCTACACATTTCTGATAGATTCAGGACACAAAACTGTTGTGAGACCTGCTCCACTGCTCACCACAAGTGAATGAGCATCTTGAGTTCACAGTTCTTGAATTCAATTTATCAGCTCAATAAAACAGCTCACACCAACCAACCGCAGATACACACCTGTGAGTGTGACAAAAACCTGTCTCCAAACTGTTTTACTCACCAACAGTTACAATTTTAAATATTTCAGTTTCTTTGATTGATTATTACCAACTCAAACTTGAAGCAGTGCAGTCTTATATCTTAAGCACCAACTACTTCACTCATGGTCCGAATAACTCCTGTAAGAACACTTTCCCATAAAGCATTGCAGCCAACATAATACGCCGAAACTCATGTATGTATATATATATATATATATATATATATATATATATATATATATATATATATATATATATACATATATAGTGCGCCATCTACTGGGAAACGCTGGAAATGCATGACAAATAAAACAACAAGGTTTATTATTGTAATTTATTCCAGTTCTTTGGGCCGGATTAAAAGGTTTAAAGGGCCGCATATGGCCCCCGGGCCGTAGTTTGCCCACCCCTGGTTTAGGACCACAGGATTTACATTTACAACCTTTTAATCCGGCCGCCAAACTGGAATAAATTACAATAATAAACCTTGTTGATGTTTTATTTGTCATGCATTTCCGGCGTTTCCCAGTAGATGGCGACACTATATATACATTGAGGTGCGGCGTATTATGTTGGCCGCAATGCACTTCTTCCATTTCAGTTAGGTAAAGGTTAAATATAGAAAAACAGTAGACTCTATGTTACAATTCTTAATGCATGGAATCTCATAGAGTCTGATTTAAATGCATGTGCAGGTGTGAACTCAGTTTATAAAACTGTTTATCAGTTAGATTTGAGAACAGTTCACTCATAACACACACCTGTAGTGAGCAGTGGAACACATCTTTACACTTCTATTGTTCTGGATCTGTAGTGGTAATGTTATAATGCATCGTCTATGTCCTATGTAAGTCCTGCATAAGCGACAATGTGAATGTAAAGAAGCTAAACATTAAACATGTTATGTCATGTTTTCTGTCCGGCCCTTCAGTCACATTTTAGGACCCTATGTGGCCCACGAGCCAAAAAGTTTGCCCACCCCTTTAGTTTAGTTCCATTTTAAAACTACAAAAAATCTCAAATAAATACAGTTGAGTAAAAGGGGGAGGGGCCTCGTACATTTCTGGGCGTTGGGGTTGGACTGCACCTCCAGGATCACCGTGGTCACTGCGTCCGCAAACATGTCGTTCAGAGGATTCGCCGTCCACTGCAGCACAAACAAACACGTCAGATGCCCTCCCACGTGTACCAGTGTGTCAGATGCCCTCCCACGTGTACCAGTGTGTCAGATGCCCTCCCACGTGTGTACCAGTGTGTCAGATGCCCTCCCACACGTGTACCAGTGTGTCAGATGCCCTCCCACACATGTACCAGTGTGTCAGATGCCCTCCCACATGTACCAGTGTGTCAGATGCCCTCCCACACATGTACCAGTGTGTCAGATGCCCTCCCACACATGTACCAGTGCGTCAGATGCCCTCCCACACATGTACCAGTGCGTCAGATGCCCTCCCACACATGTACCAGTGCGTCAGATGCCCTCCCACGTGTACCAGTGCGTCAGATGCCCTCCCACACATGTACCAGTGTGTCAGATGCCCTCCCACATGTACCAGTGTGTCAGATGCCCTCCCACACATGTACCAGTGCGTCAGATGCCCTCCCACACGTGTACCAGTGCGTCAGATGCCCTCCCACACATGTACCAGTGTGTCAGATGCCCTCCCACCAGTTGTGTCAGATGCCCTCCCACGTGTACCAGTGTGTCAGATGCCCTCCCACACATGTACCAGTGTGTCAGATGCCCTCCCACACATGTACCAGTGTGTCAGATGCCCTCCCACACATGTACCAGTGTCAGATGCCCTCCCACACATGTACCAGTGTGTCAGATGCCCTCCCACACATGTACCAGTGTGTCAGATGCCCTCCCACACATGTACCAGTGTGTCAGATGCCCTCCCACACATGTACCAGTGTGTCAGATGCCCTCCCACACGTGTACCAGTGTGTCAGATGCCCTCCCACATGTACCAGTGTGTCAGATGCCCTCCCACACATGTACCAGTGTGTCAGATGCCCTCCCACGTGTCATGTGGTGTAGATTGTGTTATGAAAATATGAGAGTTTTCATGCATCCTGAATTTCGGACTTCCAGTCATCGTGCACTTCTGACTGGGAAGGATCCTCTGAAAAAGTGACCTCCATGTTTGTTTTCTGGTTCTGATTTTGTCATATTTCAGTTTTGGGATTCGGACGTTGTAACTGTGCGGCTGTTGGATCCTAACAGCGGAAAACGGCTGGAGAAACGGGCTTCAGAAGTCGGAGGATCCTTCCCAGTGTGCGCAGCGTGATGACCCGTTGGCGTGGGAGCAGAGCATGCTGGGAGCTGTAGTCCTCCTCACCTGCAGCAGCACCATCCCGGCCTCGTGCACCAGAGTGATGCTCTTAAACACTTTGACGGTGATCTTCTCCGCTCCCTCCACCTGCTCCACCTCCCCTGAACAAAAACAACGACAGAGACGTCAGACTTTCACACGGCTCCACCTCGTGACATCACCGGGTGGGAGGTACTGACCCGAGAGGTGCCGCAGCTGACTGACCAGAACCGAGATGGGTCCAGTGAACGGGATGGCCTGAGTCTGAGTCACCGTGCCCATGTTCAGGTCTGTGTAATCTGGAACACACATGGTTTAGACCGGGATTAGACCCCAGTTTAGATTTAACTATGGACTAAACCAGGACTAAACTGAGTCCTGGTTTAATTCAGGTTTAATTAAGGTTTAGTCCAGGTTTAGTCCAGGTGCAGTCCAGCTTTAGTCCTGGTTTAGTTCTGGTTCAGTCCAGCTTTAGTCCAGCTTTAGTCCAGGTTCAGTCCAAGTTTAGTCCAAGTTTTAGTCCAGGTTTAATTCAGGTTTAATTCAGGTTTAATTCAGGTTTAGTCCAGGTTTAGTCCAGGTTTAATTCAGGTTTAGTCCAGATTTAGTCCAGGTTTAGTCCAGGTTTAATTCAGGTTCAGTCCAGGTTCAGTCCAAGTTTAGTCCAGGTTTAGTCCAGGTTTAGTCCTGGTTCAGTCCTGGTTCAGTCCTGGTTCAGTCCAAGTTTAGTCCAAGTTTAGTCCAAGTTTAGTCCAAGTTTTAGTCCAGTTTTAGTCCAGTTTTAGTCCAGTTTTAGTCCTGGTTCAGTCCTGGTTCAGTCCTGGTTCAGTCCTGGTTCAGTTCAAGTTTTAGTCCAAGTTTTAGTCCAAGTTTTAGTCCAAGTTTAGTCCAGGTTTAGTCCTGGTTCAGTCCTGGTTCAGTCCTGGTTCAGTCCCGGTTTAGTCCAGTTTTAGTCCCGGTTCAGTCCCGGTTCAGTCCAGGTTTAGTCCAGGTTTAGTCCAGGTTTAGTCCAGGTTTAGTCCAGTTTTAGTCCAGGTTCAGTCCAGGTTTAGTCCAGTTTTAGTCCAGTTTTAGTCCAAGTTTAGTCCAAGTTTAAGTCCAGTTTTAGTCCTGGTTCAGTCCTGGTTCAGTCCAAGTTTTAGTCCAGTTTTAGTCCAGTTTTAGTCCTCGTTCAGTCCTGGTTCAGTCCAAGTTTTAGTCCAAGTTTTAGTCCAAGGTTTAGTCCAGGTTTAGTCCAGGTTTAGTCCTGGTTTCAGTCCTGGTTCAGTCCTGGTTCAGTCCTGGTTCAGTCCAAGTTTTAGTCCAGTTTTAGTCCAGTTTTAGTCCTGGTTCAGTCCAGGTTTAGTCCAGTTGTAGTCCTGGTTCAGTCCAGGTTTAGTCCAGGTTTAGTCCAGTTTTAGTCCTGGTTCAGTCCAGGTTTAGTCCAGTTTTAGTCCTGGTTCAGTCCAGGTTTAGTCCAGTTTTAGTCCTGGTTCAGTCCAGGTTTAGTCCAGTTTTAGTCCAAGTTTTAGTCCAAGTTTTAGTCCAGTTTAGTCCAGTTTAGTCCAGTTTAGTCCAGTTTTAGTCCAGGTTTAGTCCAGTTTTAGTCCAGTTTTAGTCCAGTTTTAGTCCTGGTTCAGTCCAGGTTTAGTCCAGGTTTAGTCCTGGTTCAGTCCAGGTTTAGTCCAGTTTTAGTCCTGGTTCAGTCCAGGTTTAGTCCAGTTTTAGTCCAGTTTTAGTCCTGGTTTAGTCCAGGTTTAGTCCAGTTTTAGTCCTGGTTCAGTCCAGGTTTAGTCCAGTTTTAGTCCAGGTTTAGTCCAGTTTTAGTCCAGTTTTAGTCCAGTTTAGTCCACTGGTTTCAGTCCAGGTTTAGTCCAGGTTTAGTCCAGGTTTAGTCCAGGTTTAGTCCAGCTTTCAGTCCAGGTTTAGTCCTGGTTTAGTCCTGGTTCAGTCCAGGTTTAGTCCAGTTTTAGTCCTGGTTCAGTCCAGGTTTAGTCCAGTTTTAGTCCTGGTTCAGTCCAGGTTTAGTCCAGTTTTAGTCCTGGTTCAGTCCAGGTTTAGTCCAGTAGTTTTAGTCCTGGTTCAGTTCTCACTGGACAGGTCGGATGGAGACAGGATGTGGTAGTTGAAGTTTCTTTTGACCAGGATTCCTGAGACCCTCTGACCCTGAGCGCACTTCCTGTCCGCCAGCGACCCCATGACCTGCAGCAGAGCATCATGGGAGTGAGAGTCAGACCTGGGACTACGAGGTCAAAGGTCAAAGGTCAAAGGTCAGAAGAGTCAAGAGCAGATCCAGGTTTAAACGATTATTCCACACTGGCCACGTTCACATGTGTTTTAATTCCAAATTAAATAGTTCAGAATTAAAATCTTCTCTTTGGAGTTTACACGGAAATAATAATTCTGAATTGAGGTTTACATGTTTACATCAAATGATTAAATTATTCATATTTAAAATCAATTTAAAGCATAAACTACTGTAAAATGATAAAAAGTAAAACGTCTGACGGAGAACAGCTGATGTTGTTCTTTTGCGAGCTCTTCTCTCTGTGCTCGTGGTCTGCAGAGCTGTATTTCTGTTTCAAACTCATATGGAAATAAATAAAAACAATTCAATTCATTCATTTAATATAAAATAAAATAACGTAAAAAAAAAAAAATCTTATCTAATTAATCAAAAAGGAAAAGATATGGACCCCTTTACCTAATTTTATTTATTTTATTTTATTATATTATTATTCAAATGTTTTCTTTTTTTTTTCTCTCTCACTTATTTTAATTTGTTGTATTTTTTTGTTTGTTTTTGTTTGTCAGAATTCAGTTTAATTCTGTATAATCATTTTATAATTTTATTCATTTTATAATCTAGTGTTTACATGAACTTTTTAAAGTGGAAGGGCACCTGACACACACGAGGAGGGAACCTGACACACACGGGGAGGGAGGGCACCTGACACACACACGGGGGGGCACCTGACACACACACGAGGGAGGGAGGGCACCTGACACACACGGGGAGGGCACCTGACACACACGAGGAGGGGCAGGACACCTGACACACACGGGGAGGGCACCTGACACACACGAGGGGGGAGGGCACCTGACCACACGGGGAGGGCACCTGACTGACACACACGAGGAGGGGAGGGAGGGCACCTGACACACACGGGGAGGGCACCTGACACACACGGGGAGGGCACCTGACACACACGGGGAGGGCACCTGACACACACGGGAGGGAGGGCACCTGGGGAGGGACACACACACAGGGAGGGAGGGAGGGCACCTGACACACACGGGGAGGAGGGCACCTGACACACACGAGGAGGGCACCTGACACACACACACGGGAGGGGGGCACCTGACACAACACGGGGAGGGCACCTGACACACACGGGAGGGCACCTGACACACACGGGAGGGAGGGCAACCTGACACACACGGGGAGGGGAGGCACCTGCACCTGACACACACGGGGAGGGGAGGGCACCTGACACACACACACACACTGGGAGGGGGAGGGCACCTGACACACACTGAGGGCACCTGACACACACAGGGGAGGGCACCTGACACACACGGGGGGAGGGCACCTGACACACACGAGGGAGGGAGGGCACCTGACACACACGAGGAGGGCACCTGACACACACGGGGAGGGAGGGCACCTGACACACACGGGAGGGCACCTGACACACACGAGGAGGGCACCTGACACACACACGGGAGGGGAGGGGCACCTGACACACACACACACGGGAGGGCACCTGACACACACGGTGGGGGGGCACCTGACACACACACACGGGGAGGGCACCTGACACACACACACGGGGGGGCACCTGACACACACACACGGGGAGGGCACCTGACACACACACACGGGGGGGGCACCTGACACACACTGGGAGGGGAGGGCACCTGACACACACTGGGAGGGCACCTGACACACACACGGGGGAGGGCACCTGACACACACACGGTGGGGGGGCACCTGAACACACACACGGGGAGGGCACCTGACACACACGGGAGGGCGCCTGACACACACACGGTGGGGGGGCACCTGACACACACACACGGGGGGGCACCTGACACACACACGGGGGGGCGGGGTCAGACCTTGGCGAGTTTCTCTCCTCTGAAGTAGAGCGTGACGGCCTCCGTGTTGCGCGGGTTGTGCACCTCGATGTGAACCTCGTCGTTGTCCTCGTACTCACGGATCAGAGCCTGCTTTGAGGCGAGCCATTTCATTCTGCTCCCCGTGAACCAGGATCTGACACGACAGACACGAGGAGGAGTCAGAGGAAGAGGAGGAGAGGAGGAAGAGGAGGAGGGAGAGGAGGAGAGGAAGAGGAGGAGGAGGAGGAGGAGGAGGAGGAGAGGAGAGGAGGAGGAGGAGAGGAAGAGGAGAGGAGGAGGAGGAGAGGAGGAGGAGGAGGAAGAGGAGGAGGAGGAGGAGAGAGGAAGAGGAGGAAGAAGGAGGAAGAAGAGGAGGAGGAGGAGGAGAGGAGAGAGAGGAGAGAGGAGAGAGGAGAGAGAGGAGAGGAGGAGGAGAGGAGGAGAGGAGAGGAGGAGAGGAGGAAGAGGAAGAGGAGAGGAAGAGAGAGGAAGAGGAGAGAGGAAGAGGAGAGGAGGAAGAGGAGGAGAGGAGGAGAAGAGGAAGAGGAGAAGAAGGAGGAGGAGAGGAGGAGGAGAGGAGGAGAGGAAGAGAAGAGGAAGAGGAAGAGGAAGAGGAGGAAGGAGGAAGAGGAGGAGGGAGAAGAAGAAGAGGAGAGGAAAAGGAGGAGATGAAGAGAGGAGGAGAGGAGGAGAGGAAGAGGCGGAGGAAGAGGAGGAGGAAGAGGAGAGGAAGAGGAAGAGAGGAGGAAAGGAGGAGAGGAGGAAGAGGAGAGGGGAAGGGAGGAGAAAAGAAAGAGGAGGAGGAGGAAGAGCCAAAGGAAGAGGAGAGGAGAGGAAGAGTCAGAGGAAAGGAGGAGCAGGAGCAGACAGGAGCAGACAGGAGCAGACAGGAGCAGGCAGGTGCAGACAGGAGCAGGCAGGAGCAGCAGGAGGAGGCAGGTGCAGACAGGAGCAGACAGGAGCAGACAGGAGCAGGCAGCAGACAGGAGAGACAGGAGCAGGCAGTGCAGACAGGAGCAGAGCAGGTGGCAGGAGCAGAGCAGACAGGAAGAGCAGAGGCAGGTGCAGACAGGAGCAGGACAGGAGCAGGAGAGGAGGTGCAGACAGGAGCAGGCAGAGAAGGAGGGCAGAGACAGCAGAGACAGAGCAGAGCAGACAGGTGCAGCAGGCAGAGCAGAGCAGCAGAGCAGCAGAGCAGGCAGGTGCAGACAGGAGCAGCAGGAGCAGCAGGAGCAGAGTGCAGGAGCAGCAGCAGGAGCAGCAGAGGAGCAGAGGTGCAGCAGCAGACAGGTGCAGACAGCAGACAGAGCAGGGAGCAGGAGCAGGCAGGTGCAGCAGGAGCAAGAGCAGAGGCAGCAGGAGCAGCAGGAGCAGACAGGAGCAGACAGGTGCAGACAGGTGCAGACAGGAGCAGACAGGTGCAGACAGGAGCAGACAGGGCAGACAGGTGCAGACAGGTGCAGCAGGAGCAGACAGGAGCAGCAGAGCAGACAGGTGCAGACAGAGACAGGTGCAGACAGAGCAGCAGAGCAGGAGCAGACAGAGCAGCAGAGCAGACAGCAGACAGGAGCAGGAGCAGGCAGCACAGACAGAGCAGGTGCAGACAGGAGCAGGCAGAGCAGACAGCAGCAGACAGGTGCAGACAGGTGCAGACAGGAGCAGACAGGTGCAGGCAGGTGCAGGCAGGAGCAGACAGGTGCAGACAGGAGCAGACAGCAGCAGACAGGTGCAGACAGGCAGGGCAGCAGGAGCAGCAGGCAGGGAGCAGACAGGAGCAGCAGGAGCAGACAGGAGCAGACAGGAGCAGACAGGAGCAGACAGGAGCAGGTGCAGACAGGAGCAGGCAGGAGCAGGCAGGAGCAGACAGGAGCAGGCAGGAGCAGACAGGAGCAGACAGGAGCAGACAGGTGCAGACAGGTGCAGTACCACGTGTGGAGGTTTGAGCGCTCGGATGAACTCGCTGGTTTGTTGGTAGTCGGTGTGAGCGGAGAAGGAGATGTAGTCCACAGACATTTTGAGAGGAAGTTTCTGGCCCGACATGGTGGTGATCTCGTCCGGCTCCGTCATGATGTGCTGACGACAGACGGAAGTTTAAGGTTTAAAACAAATATTTACACATTTATCCCCTGAAAACTGTAATCCTCATCACCAGACGAACATTTCAAACTCGATTTCGATCCTAAGAAATAAACTCGATCCTGATCCTGATCCACAGTGAGATAAAAACAAACTGTGATTTTCAACATTAAATGATAAAACTTTATTTTCTTTTCTCATGTGTCTTTATATCTGTGTGATCCCTCAGTGGTCCAGGTCTCAGGTAAACCAGGTCTAAACCAGGTCTAAACCAGGTCTAAACCAGGACTAAACCAGGAGGTCTAAAACCAGGTCTAACCAGGTAAACCAGGTCTCTAAACCAGGACTAAACCAGGTCTAAACCAGGTCTAAACCAGGACTAAACCAGGTCTAAACCAGGTCTAAACCAGGTCTAAACCAGGTCTAAACCAGGTCTAAACCAGGTCTAAACCAGTCTAAACCAGGACTAAACCAGGACTAAACCAGGTCTAAACCAGGACTAAACCAGGTCTAAACCAGGACTAAACCAGGACTAAACCAGGTCTAAACCAGGTCTAAAACCAGGTCTAAACCAGGTCTAAACCAGGACTAAACCAGGTCTAAACAGGTCTAAACCAGGACTAAACCAGGTCTAAACCAGGTCTAAACCAGGTCTAAACCAGGACTAAAACCAGGTCTAAACCAGGACTAAACCAGGACTAAAACCAGGACTAAACCAGGACTAAACCAGGTCTAAACCAGGTCTAAACCAGGTCTAAAACCAGGACTAAACCAGGTCTAAACCAGGACTAAACCAGGTCTAAACCAGATCTAAACCAGGACTAAACCAGGTCTAAACCAGGTCTAAACCAGGACTAAACCAGGTCTAAACCAGGACTAAACCAGGTCTAAACCAGGACTAAACCAGGTCTAAACCAGGACTAAACCAAGAATAAAACCAGGTCTAAACCAGGACTAAACCAGGACTAAACTAGGTCTAAACCAGGTCTAAAACCAGGTCTAAACCAGGTCTAAAACCAGGTCTAAACCAGGTCTAAACCAGGTCTAAACCAGGTCTAACTAACCAGGACTAAACCAGTCTAAACCAGAACTAAACCAGGTCTAAACCAAGACTAAAACCGTCTAAACCAGGACTAAACCAAGACTAAAACCACGTCTAAACCAGGACTAAAACCAGGATTAAACCAGGTCTAAACCAAGACTAAAACCAGGTCTAAACCAGGTCTAAACCAGGTCTAAACCAGGTCTAAACCAGAGGAGGAGAAAAGAGACGGGAGGAGAGAGGGAAAAAGAGTCTTCCAAACGTCACTTTTTGGAGCTTTGAGGATTTAAACATTTTAAAAAGTTCATGTTGTGAAAATAGAAAAGAATCCTACACAATCTAGGTGCACATGTGGCGACGCACGGGCACCGCGGCGGTCACCGTGGCGACGCACGGGCACCGCGGCGGTCACCGTGGCGACGCACGGGCACCGCGGCGGTCACCGTGGCGATTTGCGTGGCGTTACCTTGGCGAGCGTTCCCTCCACGCAGTATCCGGCGATGATCACTCCGTTCCTCTTGTCCGTGCACCAGGACTCGAACAGCTCCCGGGACAAACCGCTCTGCATCATCCCCGGAGACGCCATCACCACGCTCGGACCGATGTCGTCAAAGTGATCCATGCTCTGAGGGCACAGGGCAGAGGGCAGAGGTCAGAGGTCACACTCACACCCCAAACCTGGTCCAGCTCCACTCTTAGTCCTCGGTCCTGGTCTAGTCCCACTGCCTGGTTCAGTTCTGTTCCCGGTCTCGGCCTGAGCTTGAGGCTGCTGATGTGCTGGTCTAGTTCTGGTGTAGTCCTGGTGTAGTCCTGGTGTAGTCCTGGTCTGTCCTGTCTAGTCCTGTCTAGTCTGGGTGTCTGGTCTGTAGTCCTTGAGTCCTGTAGTCTAGTCCTGGTGTAGTCCTGTCCTGGTGTAGTCCTGTAGTGTATAGTGGGTAGTCCTGGTGTAGTCCTGGTCCTATAGTCCTGGTGTAGTCCTGGTGTGTAGTCCTGTGTAGTCCTGGTCCTGGTGTAGTCCTGGGTAGTCCTGGGTGTAGTCCTGGGTCTAGTCCTGGGTCTAGTCCTGGTCTAGTCCTGGGTCTAGTCCTGGGTCTTAGTCCTGGTCTAGTCCTGGTGTAGTCCTGGGTGTAGTCCTGGTGTAGTCCTGGGTCTAGTCCTGGTCTAGTCCTAGTCCTGGGTCTAGTCCTGGTGTAGTCCTGGGTCCTAGTCCTAGTCCTGGTCTAGTCCGGTATAGTCCTGGTAGTCCTGGGTCTAGTCCTAGTCCTGGTCTAGTCCTGGTCTTAGTCCTGGTCCTAGTCCTGGTCCTGGTCCTGGTCTGGTCCTGGTCCTGTCTGGTCCTAGTCCTGTCCTGGTCCTGGTCCTGGTCCTCAGTCCTGGTCCTCGTCCTGGTTCCTGGTCCTGGTCCTCGGTCCTGGTCCTAGTCTAGTCCTGTCTAGTCCTGGTCCTGTCCTGTCCTATCCTGGTCCTGGTCCTGGTCTGGTCTGGTCCTGGTCCTGGTCCTGGTCCTGAGTCCTGGTCCTGGTCCTGGTCCTGTCCTGGTCCTGGTCCTGTCCTCGTCCTGGTCTAGTCCTAGTCCTGGTCCTGTCCTGGTCCTGGTCCTGGTCCTGGTCCTCCTGTCCTGGTCCTCCTGGTCCTGGTCCTGGTCCTGGTCCTGGTCCTAGTCCTACCTGGTCCTGGTCCTGGTCCTGGTCCTGGTCCTGGTCCTGGTCCGACCTTGAGGTTGCTGATGTGCTTGAACACAAAGGGGTTGTTGATGTTGATGGCTTTGCGGATCTTGTCGTTCATGGCGTTGATGTACGTCTGGTACACGGCCATGCACTTCCGCGCCAGAGACGACGCGTAGTAGATCGGGATGTCGTGGAGCTCGGGGTGATTCTGCCAGTACTCGTCTGGAGAAGGACCACGACACAACATCACACAGCAGTCAAATAAAATAAAACCACAGAACAGTAACAAATAAATAAAACCAATAAAATAAATAAAAAATAAATAAAAGACACAGAGCTCAGTGTTCGCGTCAGAGTCCTGCACCGGGTCGGGTATTGCTGAAACGGGCAGATTTTAATGTTCTGGAGTTTTACGGGTGAGTAGTGATCACACATGGGCAGGTCAGGAGAATCAAATGAACGACGAGCGAGAGAAAAACACTTGACGTGCGCCCAGAGTGTCCGTCGCCCTGGAAACAAGAGACATTTCCCGTCTTTTCCCGGAACGATGGACCAGACTGAAGACTTTAGTGTTTTTATTATAAAACCATCAGCGGAGGAGATCGACTCGGCGGCTGAGCTCCTGGTTCAGTCCTGGTTCAGTCCTGGACTATTGGGCTGACCCAGATTTATCACGGGCGGGTAACGCTCTACTGGACAGGTATGGGCAGGTGTGGACGGGTGTGTGTGGACGGGTGTGGGCAGTGGTGTGGGCGGGTGGGCAGTGTGGCAGTGTGGGCAGGTGTGGACGGTGTGGGCGTGTGGGCAAGTGTGGGCGGGTGTGGACGGGTGTGGGCGGGTGTGGACAAGTGTGGGCGGGTGTGGGCGGGTGTGGGCAGGTGTGGGCAGGTGTGGGCAGGTGTGGGCTGGTCTCCAAAAATGGCTCCGTGCAGGACTCAGCGGGTCAGAGCTCTGCCTCAGACACGTGAACATGTTCAGTCTGTGGTCTGTGTGGGGTCTGTGGGTCTGGTGGTCTGTGTGGTCTCTGTGTGGTTGTGCGGTCTGTGCGGGGTGTGCGGGGTCTGTGGGTGTGTGCGGTGTGGTGTGCGGTCTGTGGGGGGTCTGTGTGTGTGTGTGGGGTCTGTGGGGGTCTGTGTGGTGTGTGCGGTCTGTGTGGGGTCTGGTGGTCTGTGTGGTCTCTGTGGGGTCTGTGCGGGGGTCTGTGTGCGGGGTCTGTGGGGAGTCTGTGGGGGTCCTGTGGGGTCTGTGTGTGTCTGTGCGGTCTGTGGGGAGTCTGTGTGGGGTCCTGTGCGGGTCTGTGGTCTGTGGGTCTGTGCGGGGGTCTGTGCGGGGTCTGGTGGTCTTGTGGTCTGTGTGTGGGGTCTGTGTGGTGGGGGTCTGTGTCTGTGGGGGTCTGTGTGGGGTCTGGGGTGTGCGGGGTCTGGGGGTCTGTGTGGTCTGTGGGGTCTGTGGTTCTTACCCAGGATGAGCAGCAGTTCCTGGGCTCTCCCCAGGGCGAACACGGGGATGAGGCAGCGGCCTTCGCGGTTCACGATGTCGTGGACGGTGTTGCAGAAACGCGCCTCTCGCTCCTCGCGCTTCTCGTGGATGTGCGTCCCGTAAGTCGACTCCTGAGCAACACAAACACGAGAGTTTAACCCAAAAAAATAAAAAAGTTCTGTGGATCTGACGATGAAGAGGCAGGTCCACATGAAGAGAGAACAGATTTATGTCCACACCAGAAAACCAAATACAACAGACTCTTTTCACGCCGACGTCACAAACCAGGACAGAGTAACACCAGGTTTGACTCGCACAAATTAAACTTTTTTAAGACCTTTTTAAAGACAACTTAAAAGAAAATTAAGACCAACATCGCACACATTATGCGGCGAAAAACTCCAGGTCCAGTTCTAATAAAGACCATTACTAATTGCTTTAAATAACAAAAAAAAAACTTCTTATAAAACCTCCTTCAGAACTCATTTATAGTCGTATGCGCTGTTTGTAAAATGGCCAAGAAATCATTTATAACTTTCTAACAAGACAAACTAACCTTTCACATTGTCTTGTCTCACACTCACACGTCTTTCAAAGTGCTTCAACTGTTTCACATTTTCAACAACAACACACTGTTGTTCACTCTACTGGTTGTTTACTCGCTGCTGCCGGTGCCAGAAACCAAAGAGTAATTTGCGCATCCTCCAAATTACCGTATTTTCTGCACTATAGGGCGCACTTAAAAGCCTTGAATTTCATCCAAAAACGAGCCTTATAATCGCGCCTTATAATCCAGAGCTCCTTGTAGTGCGGGAAATACGGTAACAGTTCATTCAAGTTGTGAATGTGTGGCTCGTTGTTTCCTTCAAGTTTTGCTCTTTCTTCTCTTAATAGTTTAAACACATTTACACATTTACACACACACACTTACACACACTTACACATTTACACACACATTTACACATTTACACACACACACTTACATACACTTACACATTTACACACACGTTGTTAAGGAGCCAGGCCTGTACTATGCGGCCTGACTCTCACTTCTTTTTAAATAACTCTAATAACACTCAAAATATCATTTAGCTTAGAAAACACCATACAAATAACTCTAACAACGCTTAAAATATCACTTAGGGAACACTTAAAATTTCACTTAACTTTAGAAAACACCTTATGACATACTCCATACCCTATCTCGTAACATTTGCCAAACACTTATTTTTAACAGTACCTCTAAGCATTCAAAACCTTCCAGATATCAACCTACTTTCAGCAGTGCCTCAAAACATTTATCCAGATTTAGCTTTACACCAAACATTGCAAATATTCACTTATCCTTAGCAGTGCCTCAAAAACATCTATCCAAATTCAGCATTGCATTAAAAAACATTGCATCAGAGAATTTCCCCAACATTGCGTTTTTTGTAAGACAACTCACCTAGGATGACTGGACTTGCTCGTGGTAAGAATATATGTATATTAATTAAAGGGAGAGACTCAACAAAAGATCCCAACAAGTGATTTGTCTTTGTCTTATTTTTTGGCTTTTTATTACTTTATGCACTACTCATGTGGCTGATACCATCGTTCGTCGTCGTGCAAACGTTTGCTCTGTCAGGGTTTTTAGGCCCGGAAAGCTCACAACAAGATGACTATGACCAACTCACTCGGTAGTCGCTATTTTACTAGAAAGCTCATACAAAAACAATTAGGACAAATCACTATGCAAGTACCCTTTTGGAGAAATTACCCTGTGACCTGGTAAGCTATAAAGCACTGCCTAGTCCAAATTAGAGATCTGACCTCCTAAGCAAAGTTACTTGCAGAGGGGTCAATGCCAACCACATCAGGATCACACTTCTATGCAGACTTTTTCAGAATTTATCTGAGGTCACAGGACTCCACCCAGGTACATGCAAAGCGATTAGGACATCACATATAGCACACATTTTCTAAGTACAGGCAACACTTTTAGAAACCGCAAACATCACTCCTCCAGGCCAAAAGCGCCTCTTCCAGCCCCAGGTGCGAGGTTAACTGCCATTCCACTTTGTCGAAAGAGCAGGAAGCTCGCACCCGGTCCGTTTGCAGGCTTCCTGCACACAGCATCGCACATAATGTTACAAACCAATGTCAAACAAGGGTAAACTGTCAAAAGAACAGAAAGCCCTTATTTTTCCTGCACACAAATATAATAGTTACAAAAATGAATGCCAAACAACCCAATCCTGGAAATGGAGTTGGAAGAATCAAATAAATCAATGTAAAAGAAACAAGTCAGGTTAAATCAAAACAAAACAAGTAATTTATGCTAATATAGATCACAAAAATGCCTCTATCATCTAAATCAATCATTCTTAATCCCTAATGCTCTAACAGCTATTTGTTTACTGAAATAAACATCTGAATGTCTGAGCCCCTCAATGGAATTTACACCAAAACCTTCATCTTTTTACCCCACCCAGGTGAGCTCTCCTGTGCCCAGGGGGTTCACCACACACGTTTACACACACATTTACACATTTACACACACACACATTTACACACACGTTTACACACACATTTACACACACATTTACACACACTTACACATTTACACACACACACACTTACACACATTTACACATTACACACACACACACACTTACACACATTTACACACACACTTACACATTTACACACACACACTTACACATTTACACACACGTTTACACACACATTTACACACACCTTTACACATTTACACACACTTACACACACACTTACACATTTACACACACACATATTTACACACACGTTTACACACACATTTACACACACCTTTACACACACATACTTACACATTTACACACACGTTTACACAAATGTTTACACACACTTACACACTTACACACACATTTACACACACACACTTACACACATTTACACACACACACATTTACACACACGTTTACACACACATTTACACACACTTTACACACACCTTTACACACACCTTTACACACACCTTTACACACACCTTTACACACACGTTTACACACACCTTTACACACACCTTTACACACACATTTACACACACCTTTACACACACATTACACACACGTTTACACATTTACACACACATTTACACACACTTACACATTTACACACACACACACTTACACACATTTACACACACACATTTACACACACCTTTACACAAATGTTTACACACACCTTTACACATTTACACACACTTACACACACACTTACACATTTACACACACACACTTACACATTTACACACACACACATTTACACACACATTTACACACACGTTTACACACACATTTACACATTTACACACACATTTACACACACACTTACACATTTACACACACACACACTTACACACATTTACACACACACTTACACACATTTACACACACACACTTACACATTTACACACACACTTACACATTTACACACACGTTTACACACACACTTACACATTTACACACACACATTTACACACACACTTACACACACACTTACACACACATTTACACACACATTTACACACACACATTTACACACGTTTACACACACGTTTACACACACATTTACACACACACATTTACACACGTTTACACACACACACATTTACACACACACACATTTACACACATTTACACACACACATTTACACACACGTTTACACACACGTTTACACACACACACACATTTACACACACATTTTGACACAGAAAACCATTAACCGGAAGTTCCATAAACCTAAAGGGCGGCACTTTCGACTGTTGTGAAAAAGGACAGAGGGGGAGGGGCTTATCCAGGTCTGATTAAAGATCCTGGGGTCACGCGGGGGGGGGGTCACGCGGGGGGGTCACATTCACCGTGATGAGGATGTCTGGTTTGACGCTGGGGATCTCCGCTGCCATCAGGTGTCTGTCCTCCTGCCGAGAGAAGTCCCCGGTGTACAGCAGCTGCACACAGAACAGACAACAGAGAGGAAAGTCCCACAGTGGAGCTTTAAGGTCAGTGCTGCACGCTCAGTCACAGGTCAAACTGTTCCTTTAATCCTCCCAGCCCGAAGGCACCGTCTACGATACCAGGGAACATGTTTTATTTAACCGTGCAGAATGTTCCAACTGTAAAATACACAAACTCATTGTTTTTCCCTGAAAACCTGAGTTTGTGTTTCTGAGCAGATTTTCACACTGTGATGACGACGGGAAAACAAGTGTCTAAACCAGGACTAAACCAACCAGGACTAAACCAGGACTAAACCAGGTCTAAACCAGGTCTAAACCACATCTAAACCAGGTCTAAACCAGGTCTAAACCAGGTCTAAACCACGTCTAAACCAGGACTAAACCAGATCTAAACCAGGACTAAACCAGGTCTAAACCAGGACTAAACCAGGTCTAAACCACATCTAAACCAGGTCTAAACCACATCTAAACCAGGTCTAAACCAGGTCTAAACCACATCTAAACCAGGTCTAAACCAGATCTACACCAGGTCTAAACCAGGTCTAAACCAGGTCTAAAACCACATCTAAACCAGGACTAAACCAGGACTAAACCAGGACTAAACCAGGTCTAAACCACATCTAAACCACATCTAAACCACATCTAAACCAGGTCTAAACCAGGTCTAAACCAGGTCTAAACCAGGTCTAAACCAGGTCTAAACCACATCTAAACCAGGACTAAACCAGAACTACACCAGGTCTAAACCAGGTCTAAACCAGGACTAAACCAGGTCTAAACCACGACTAAACCACGACTAAACCAGGACTAAACCAGGTCTAAACGAGGATTAAACCAGGACTAAACAAGATCTAAACCAGAACTACATCAGGTCTAAACCAGGACTAAACCAGAACTAAACCAGGACTAAACCAGATCTAAACCAGAACTACACCAGGTCTAAACCAGATCTAATCCAGAACTACACCAGGTCTAAACCAGATCTAAACCAGGACTAAAACAGAATAAACAAGACTTGAACCATGACTAAACTGGAACTAAACTGAGACTAAACCAGGACTAGACCAGGACTAAACCACTTTTTTGAGGCGTGTGGAGCTCTCGTACCTTGACTCCGGCGATCTCGATCATGAACATGGCGGCTCCGAGCACGTGCCCGGCGTGGTAACACCAGAACTTGATCCCCGCCACCTCCTTGACCTCGTGGAAGTTTATCGTTTCGATCTTCTCCATCGAGTCCTCCAGGTCCGTCTCCGTGTACAGCATGTCGTCCGCCGAGATGTTACTGCCAGAGAGACCAGAGACCGTGGCGTTACCGTGGCGACCGTGAGCGAGCGCGGCGGCGAGTGCGGCGGCGAGCGCGGCGGCGGCGAGTACCTGACTTTGACGTAGTCCGACAGGAGCCAGCGGTAAATGGCCTTGGACGCGTGAGTCATGAAAGTTCGACCTTTGAAACTCGTCTTCTGCAGGAACCACGGCAGCGCCCCACAGTGGTCCAAGTGGAAACTGCACAGAAAGACCAGGACTAGACCAGGACTAGACCAGGACTAGACCAGGACTAGACCAGGACTAAACCAGGACTAAACCAGGACTAAACCAGGACAGACCAGGACTAAACCAGGACTAGACCAGGACTAAACCAGGACTAACCAGGACTAAACCAGGACTAGACCAGGACTAGACCAGGACTAGACCAGGACTAACCAGGACTAGACCAGGACTAAGACCAGGACTAGACCAGGACTAAACCAGGACTAAACCAGGACTAGACCAGGACTAGACCAGGACTAAACCAGGACTAGACCAGGACTAAACCAGGACTAGACCAGGACTAGACCAGGACTAGACCAGGACTAAACCAGGACTAGACCAGGACTAGACCAGGACTAAACCAGGACTAAACCAGGACTAAACCAGGACTAAACCAGGACTAAACCAGGACTAGACCAGGACTAGACCAGGACTAGACCAGGACTAGACCAGGACTAGTGAACCAGGACTAAACCAGGACTAAACCAGGACTACAGGACTAGACCAGGACTAGACCAGGACTACTACCAGGACTAAACCAGGACTAAACCAGGACTAAACCAGGACTAGACCAGGACTAGACCAGGACTAGACCAGGACTAAACCAGGACTAGACCAGGACTAGACCAGGACTAAACCAGGACTAGATCAGGACTGAATCAGGACTAAACCAGGACTGAACCAGGACTAAACCAGGACTGAACCAGGACTAGACTAGGACTAGACCAGGACTAGACCAGGACTGAACCAGGACTGAACCAGGACTAGACCAGGACTAGACCAGGACTAGACCAGGACTAGACCAGGACTAGACCGGGACTGAACCAAGACTGAACCAGGACTAGACCAGGACTAGACCAGGACTAGACCAGGACTAGACCAGGACTAGACCGGGACTAAACCAGGACTAGACCGGGACTAAACCAGGATTAGACCAGGACTGAACCAGGACTAGACCAGGACTAGAGGGTTTCTCACTGGCTGATGAGCAGGAGGTCCACCTCCGCGGGGTCGATCAGGTCGATGTACGGCAGAGCGTCCATCCCCTCCAGGCCCGGGTGGATCCCACAGTCCAACTACAACCACAGAGAAAAAAAGACAAAAACAATCAACTACAACCACAAAAAAAATAAATAAAATCAACTACAACCACAGAGAAAAACAACAAAAACAAAACAATCAACTACAGCTTTAAAGTGAGTTTAAAGTGAAATTAAAGTGATGTTAAAGTGAGTTTAAAGTGAGTTAAAAATGAAATTGAAGTGAGTTTAAAGTGAGTTTAAAATTAAATTAAAGTGAGTTTAAAGTGAGTTTAAAATGAAATTGAAGTGAGTTTAAAGTGAGTTTAAAATTCAATTGAAGTGAGTTTAAAGTGAGTTTAAAATTAAATTAAAGTGAGTTTAAAGTGAGTTTAAAGTGAAATTGAAGTGAGTTTAAAGTGAGTTTAAAATGAAATTGAAGTGAGTTTAAAATTCAATTGAAGTGAGTTTAAAGTGAGTTTAAAATTTAATTAAAGTGAGTTTAAAGTGAAATTGAAGTGAGTTTAAAGTGAGTTTAAAATTAAATTGAAGTGAGTTTAAAGTGAGTTTAAAATGAAATTAAAGTGAGTTTAAAGTGAAATTGAAATGAGTTTAAAGTGAAATTAAAGTGAGTTTAAAGTGAATTTAAAGTGAAATTAAAGTGAGTTTAAAGTGAGTTTAAAGTGAAATTGAAGTGAGTTTAAAATGACCAAGTCCTAAATCAAAAGTTACAAAAGACACAAAGGAGCATTATGATGTGAATCGCTTTTGCCAGACCGGGGACAGTCCCAGTTCTGAGCCCTGCGTCCCCCGTCACAGCAGATTTATCCAAAACCAGTGATTTGTCCCAGTTTTATTAAATAAATGTCCCAGGTGTCTCTATTTTGACATAAACTGTTATTTGTTTTGGTAAAATACAGAAAAGCTGCTTAAAAACAAAGCAAAACACAAAGAAAATGTAACTACACTGTAACTACACTGACTGGACCAGGACTAGACCAGGACTAGGCCAGAACTAGACCAGCACTGGACCAGGACAGGACCAGCACTGGACCAGGACAGGACCAGCACTGGACCAGCACTGGACCAGGACTAGACCAGCACTTGACCAGGACTAGACCAGGACTAGACCAGCACTGGACCAGGACTAGACCAGGACTGGACCAGGACTGGACCAGGACTGGACCAGGACTGGACCAGGACTGGACCAGGACTAGACCAGGACTGGACCAGGACTAGACCAGGACTGGACCAGGACTGGACCAGGACTGGACCAGGACTGGACCAGGACTGGACCAGCACTGGACCAGGACTAGACAGGACCAGCACTGGACCAGGACTAGACCAGCACTGGACCAGGACTGGACCAGGACTAGACCAGGACTAGACCAGGACTAGACCAGGACTAGACCAGGACTGGACCAGGACTAGACCAGCACTGGACCAGGACAGGACCACCAGGACCAGACACTGGACCAGCACTGGACCAGACAGGACACTGGACCAGCACTGGACCAGGACCACTGGACCAGGACCAGGACCAGGACTAGACCAGGACTAGACCAGGACTGGACCAGGACTAGACCAGGACTGGACCAGGACTGGACTGGACCAGGACTGGACCAGGACTGGACCAGGTATCAGGACTTTTCTTGCATAAAACAAATGGGACACATTCCACACGGACAGTTCGTACCATGATTTTTCGTCCTTTAAACTCCAGGATGATGCACGAACGCCCCACTTCTTGTCCCGCTCCACTGAAACACAAATATTTACACTTTTATTATTGATGTTCTAATAAAGCAGGACTGGACCGGGACTGGACCAGGTCTAGACCGGGTTCTGGACTCACAGGGGTCGGATCAGCAGCTGGTCGCTCTCCTCCGCCGGGACGATGATCTCGGGTTTTCGTTTCGCTGCCATTTTTATTATTTTAGTAAAAAAAATGCAGAAATTTCATTCAGTTTTTTAGCCCCATTAGCTCCGTGCGTTAGCCTCGTTAGCTCCGCACGAAGTTCCACCGCTGCAACACTCCAAAGGGTCCGGGCGGAACTAACGAATTCAGTTCCGCTAGTTGTTCGTCTTTGTTTTCGTCGCTATTTTAATATTTATCCGTGGTCTATAACAGCAAAGTGTCTCTGTAAATATTTAAAATTGAATAACTTTTTCAGTTTCTAACTTACATATAAATATTTGCGCTGTAGTGACGAAATTGCAGCACAAGATGGAGATATTTGTCATGGTCGTGTATCCAGCGCGTGGGCGGGAGAGGCAATTATTTTTTCCACGGGGCCACATGAGAAACAGAAAATATTGTGGAGGGTCAAAATGCTAAACTCAGTTCTGCATAATATTCATTGTATTTCTTTATATATAAAAAAAGCTGTAAATATTGTTCTGAGGAGCTGCTCAGACTGAGAAGAGTTTATGTTCTGACTAAACAATGAAAAAGCGAAGCTGCTGAACAAAAAATGTCATTTAAATAACACCTCTAGAATAAAAGCAATGCAACTTTAGTCCATGCATGTTTATTTTGTAATTCCAAATCAGATTCGAGGTAAGAGTTCAGTGTATAAAAAATTATATTATAAGAATTCTATATATATATATATATATATATATATATATATATATATATAAAATAAAAAATAAAAAATGTGTTTCTCACCTTCCACGGTGGTTGGTCTCTCACCCTCATTCAGCTCGGGTCGTCTACCAGAGGCCTGGGAGCTTGACAGTTCTGCGCAGTATCTTTGCTGTTCCCAGTACTGCACTTTTCTGGACTGAGATGTTCCGTTGTTTTTCCCGGTATCTGTTGTAGCCTCTTCCAGTTTGGGGGTTACAGCCCCGAGTGTCCGATCACCACAGGCACCACTGATGCCTTTACTTTCCAGGCTCTCTCCAGCTCTTCCTTGAGCCCCTGGTATTTCTCTAGCTTCTCGTGTTCCTTTTTCCTGATATTACCATCGCTTGGTATTGCGATGTCAACCACCACGGCTCTGCTCTGTTTCTTATCCACCACCACTATGTCTGGTTGGTTCATCTCCATCCTGTCAGTCTGTATCTGGAAGTCCCACAGGATCTTGGCTCGGTCATTCTCCACAACCTTTGGAGGTGTTTCCCACCTTGATCCTGGGGTCTCCAGCCCGTACTCTGCACAGATGTTTCTGGACACTCTGCCCGCCACTTGGTTATGTCGCTCCATGTTTGCTTTCCCTGCCAGCATCTTACACCCTGCAGTTATGTGCTGGACTGTCTCAGGAGCCTCTTTGCACAGTCGACACCGTGGGTCTTGTCTGGTGTGGTAGATCTGGGCCTCTATTGCTCGAGTGCCCAGGGCCAGGATCAGTGCCTCTGTGTGTCCTGGTAGGATTTCTTGATATCAGCCACTTCAGTTATGTTCCGGTGGTTCGCCCCATGTAGGGGTTTGTCCTGCCATGATGGTCCCTCCAGCACCTCTTCCTCTGGACCCCACTGTCTGAGACACACACACATATATATATATATATATATATATATATATATATATATATATATATATATATATATATATATATATATATATATATATATATATATATATATATAAGAATATGATGTATTAAGAATATAAAGACTAAAGAGTAGAAAGGGGGGTAATTAGGGGTAGAATTGTATTATGTATCATGTTTAGGACATGAGGCAACATAAGATGTCAGGTGTTTCCTGTTTGTTCTACAGTTTAAACGTTGAACTTCATGTGACTTCAGTGACTTTGAGCTTTGAGGTGCTTCCTGTTTCCTTTAGCGGATGTGACATGTGGTTAAGACGATTCTATATGAGCTGATGATTTTCACTTCACTGGGCTCAGGTTCAGCCTCCTGAGGTGGTCAAGAGCGACTCTGTTTCTCCTGAGGTGGTCAAGAGCGACTCTGTTTCTCCTGAGGTGGTCAAGAGCGACTCTGTTTCTCCTGAGGTGGTCAAGAGCGACTCTGTTTCTCCTGAGGTGGTCAAGAGCGACTCTGTTTCTCCTCGGAGAGAAGAGGACAAAAAGGCTTCATCAAATGAGCACAGAAACATTTAGAAGTTGTGTGAAGTTCTCCTGATTTCAACAAAAAGACGACTTCCTTTTGGTGAGTACCTTTTAAGATCTGACCTCCTCTGTAAACAGTGTTGGGGAGTAACAGATTACATGTACCAGAGTAATCAGAGTACAAATTATGAGTAACTGTATTCAGTTACAGTTACTGTTTCAGTGTCATTACCGGAAACTAAACCAGGACTAAACCAGGTCTAAAACCAGGACTAAACCAGATCTAAACCAGGACTAAACCAGGTCTAAACTAGATCTAAACTAGATCTAAAACCAGGACTAAATAAGGACTAAACCAGGTCTAAAACCAGGACTAAACCAGGTCTAAACCAGGACTAAACCAGGTCTAAACTAGATCTAAACTAGATCTAAAACCAGGACTAAATAAGGACTAAACCAGGTCTAAAACCAGGACTAAACCAGGTCTAAACCAGGACTAAACCAGGTCTAAACCAGGACTAAACCAGGTCTAAACCAGGTCTAAACCAGGACTAAAACCAGGTCTAAAACCAGGACTAAACCAGGACTAAATCCTGCTGTGTGGACGTGTCTCTTCTTCTTCTGTCAATAATATTTTTAATTTGGTTCAGTAAAGTTTGGACTTTTTATTTTCTTTTATCAGATAAAACATTTTCTGTTACGATTTCCTTCGTCTTTGTTTCTCTGCAGCAAATCAAGTATCCAAAGTAATCAGATTACATTACTCACCTAAAGTAATTTAATGGATTATGTTACAAACTACATTTTGGGGTGTGTAATCTGTAATCTGTAGGGGATTACATTTTAAAAGTAAACTTCCCAACACTGCACACTGGACACCGACACATATGTGCTGCTTTGTGCACTGTGCACATGATCACACTTGTCTCGACCGAGATAGAAAACGGGGAATTTCTTGTCCAAGTCGTTGTTAAATGTGCATTTGTGCTTCGGCGTGTTTCAGACTGACCGACTGTTTGTGTCTCGCTCCTTCTGATGCACAGACGCTACGAGAGACGCTCAGTTTAATGTCCCAAAGAAAAATAATGAAAACCCGGAAATTTACATCATTTTATTTAAAAAAAACAAAAAACAAAAACGGACGGCCAGGACACGACGTGAAAAATGGACATGTCCGGGGAAAAACAGACGTTTGGTCACCCTGTGAAAATAAGTTTGTGAACGGTCAAGTTCAGGATTATTTTTATGAACCTGTTTTTCTTTTGTTCAAAACCTGTAACAGATAATATTGGAAATAACAGTGTAATGACTAAAGTATTAGTGTGTGTGGTCATAGAGCAGAAGCAGCACAGTTCAGTGTAAACTGTTGTTCACGGTCACTCATGACTTTTTCTGTCCTTACAGAATTAAAGTGTCTCTGTTCCACCAAAGCCCTGGCTTCTGTCTTCACGTGTGTTACATTTATCAAATCCACTCAACATGTGGATTAGAATTCAGAGCAACAAACTTGTTCAATGTCTCTGTTTCTGTTTCCTTCATTTGATCTTTTGCTACAGACAGAAAAAGTGTGACTTTAAAATCAAATACAGACTTAGTTGATTGAATGAGTGTGTTTACATGCACATCAGTGTCCTGTTACGATCGGGTTTTTGGAGGATTCCGGTTTCTTCATGGTGCATGTGCACACAGTGTCCCAGTTATGAGAAACTGTAGCTGGAATATTCCGATAGTAACTGGGAAACTGTGACATGTAAACGCAGTATCCTGAATACTGCAACGTAAAGTTGAGTCACATCTTCATCACAACATAACGACATAAATGACAAACATAAATAAAGTGACAAACATAAATAAAGTGATCATACATGAGTGAAATGAGTAAAATAAAGAGCTGTGTTAAACCTGCACATGTAAAATCTGCACTCGTCTGATCTCTGAAAAGCTAAAACATGAACTATCTCCTACGATATACACACTGAACAGACTCACCATCATTATCACCTCCTCTGTCACAAAAAGAACACACATAATCCACTGAGTCGTGTCCTTTAGTCCCACAGAAGCTGAATCGCATCAGCGGCACAAGGAGCGAGTTGTTTTTATCAGCGCTAACAGTTTATGCTAATTAGCCCTGCGGTTTTAAGTTTCGTTTCTGTAAAACGTAAACAAATGTGATCAAAGTTGAATGATCTGATCAAACGGGCTGATGTGTCTATAGTGTTTATGGTTTAGATGTTGTAAAGTTGAGTTTATTTATGCAGAAGATTTAATGAAGAATCTGTTGGGTTTGATGTGTGCAGTGGATTGTGGGATATCGTACCGCTGGTTAAACCTCCCAAACTTCCTCTGCTTCCTCTTTTCCTGGTTTATTAAATTGATTTAAGTTCATTTTTGCATTAGAGCATTTGTAAGATTATGTGAAGAAACCGGGATACTCCATTTGATCATGTCACAGGGACATGAGTGTCCCGGTTTCTCCGCGCGCATGTAAACACAGTATCCCGAATCCTGACATAACCGGGACACTGATGTGCATGAAAACACACTCATTCTTACATATGATTTACTATGTGTGATTTTATGTGTATTTAGTTACAGTTACTTTATTTGAACAGTTTAAAAAGTGATTTTACTTGACACTTTCTTTCCTTTGTTCTGATGCAGAGCTACAAGATCCACCAACAGAATGACCTTCACATGTGACCAGTGTGGAAAAGTGTTGGCAAATGCTTCTGAACTGAAAAAACACTACAGAACTCACACAGGAGAAAGACCATACGAGTGTGATCAGTGTGGGACGGGATTCAAACGATCAAATCATCTTCATCGACATATGAGAATCCACACAGGAGAGAAACCGTACGAGTGTGACCAGTGTGGGATCCAATTTAGACACTCTAGTCATCTCCATCGGCATATGAGAATCCACACAGGGGTAAAACCTTACACGTGTGATGTTTGTGAGAAGACATTTTCACGGTCAGGCACCTTAAAATCACATATGAGAGTCCACACTGGAGAGAAACCATTTGAATGTGACGTTTGTGAGAAGACATTTTCACGGTCAGGCACCTTAAAATCACATATGAGAATCCACACAGGAGAGAAACCGTATGAGTGTGACCAGTGTGGGGTCCAGTTTAGACAGCCTAGTGCCCTCCATCAACATATAAGAATCCACACAGGGGTAAAACCACACAGATGTGATGTTTGTGAGAAGACATTTTCACAGTCAGGCAAATTAGAATCACATATGAGAGTCCACACTGGAGAGAAACCCTACAGATGTGATGTTTGTGAGAAGACATTTTCAGATTCAGGCACCTTAAAATTACATATGAGAGTCCACACTGGAGAGAAACCGTATGAGTGTGACCAGTGTGGGGTCCAGTTTAGACAGTCTAGTGCCCTCCATCAACATATGAGAATACACACAGGGGTAAAACCATACAGATGTGATGTTTGTGAGAAGACATTTTCACTGTCAGGCGACCTAAAATCACATAGGAGAGTCCACACTGGAGAGAAACCGTACGAGTGTGACCAGTGTGGGATAAGATTTAGAGACTCAAGTACCCTCCATAAACATAAGACAATCCACACAGGGGTAAAACCACACAAATGTGATGTTTGTGAGAAGACATTTTCACGGTCAGGCTCCCTAAAATCACACATGAGAGTCCACACTGGAGAGAAACCATACAGATGTGATTTTTGTGAGAAGACATTTTCACACTCAGGCTCCCTAAAATCACATATGAGAATCCACACTGGAGAGAAACCGTACAGATGTGACCAGTGTGAGAAAACTTTCTCTCGATCTTCCAGTCTCAATACACACATGAGAGTTCACTTCTGGCACAGACTATACGAGTGTGACCAGTGTGAAAAGTTCTTCAGAACATCCCAGGAACTGTCCAGTCACTACCGAACGCACACAGGAGACGAACCAGACGACTGAAGAAAGAGGGAAGGATTTGGGGTCTGTGGGGAAAGGAGAAAGAGCTGCTGAGGCCGGATCAAGTGAGCCTAAAGTCAGACTCAAGAAGCTGGAGATCAGGCTTCAGAGACTCCAGACTGTGGAGTTGGCCGATGTGTAGTGTCAAAAATACAAGTGTTAAATGACACGTTAAGATGTTTTTCTTTCCATCCATGTTTGTTCATCTGTTCTTTGTTGTATTGTTTTTAAACTTTGTGCGTTTAGTCTTGTTTGACTGCACTTCCTGAAATTAAAATTCCAGTTCCCTTAATTAAAATATTAAAATGAGAAAATAAAATCTGTGTTTTTGTTCTTGCTTGTCTTGTTTTATGTTTCACAAATGCCTCAAAAACTTTAGAAATGAAACAAACACACACAAAGAGCTGAGAAACAGTGTGAGCTTCTTTTAACATTTAACAGGTGAAGCACTAAATGTTCCTCAGAGGTGAGAGAATTAAAAATTAAATTCAGGATTTTAATCTTAAATTTACACGATTTGGTGAGTTTAAGTTAAAGTGCATTGGACAGATTCAGTCTTGGTTTAGTCCTGGTTAGACCTGGTTTAGTCCTGGTTTAGACCTGGTATAATCCTGGTTTAGACCTGGTTTAGACCTGGTTCAGTCCTGTTTTAGTCCGGGTTCAGGTGTTTCCTGTTTGTTCTACAGTTTAAACGTTGAACTTCATGTGACTTCAGTGACTTTGAGCTTTGAGGTGCTTCCTGTTTCCTTTAGCGGATGTGACATGTGGTTAAGACGATTCTATATGAGCTGATGATTTTCACTTCACTGGGCTCAGGTTCAGCCTCCTGAGGTGGTCAAGAGCGACTCTGTTTCTCTGGTGGTCTCTGTTTCTCCTGAGGTGGTCAAGAGCGACTCTGTTTCTCCTGAGGTGGTCAAGAGCGACTCTGTTTCTCCTCGGAGAGAAGAGGACGAAAAGGCTTCATCAAATGAGCACAGAAACATTTAGAAGTTGTGTGAAGTTCTCCTGATTTCAACAAAAAGACGACTTCCTTTTGGTGAGTACCTTTTAAGATCTGACCTCCTCTGTAAACAGTGTTGGGGAGTAACAGATTACATGTACCAGAGTAATCAGAGTACAAATTATGAGTAACTGTATTCAGTTACAGTTACTGTTTCAGTGTCATTACCGGAAACTAAACCAGGACTAAACCAGGTCTAAACCAGATCTAAACTAGAGCTAAACCAGGTCTAAAACCAGGACTAAACCAGGACTAAATCCTGCTGTGTGGACGTGTCTCTTCTTCTTCTGTCAATAATATTTTTAATTTGGTTCAGTAAAGTTTGGACTTTTTATTTTCTTTTATCAGATAAAACATTTTCTGTTACGATTTCCTCGTCTTTGTTTCTCTGCAGCAAATCAAGTATCCAAAGTAATCAGATTACATTACTCACCTAAAGTAATTTAATGGATTATGTTACAAACTACATTTTGGGGTGTGTAATCTGTAATCTGTAGGGGATTACATTTTAAAAGTAAACTTCCCAACACTGCACACTGGACACCGACACATATGTGCTGCTTTGTGCACTGTGCACATGATCACACTTGTCTCGACCGAGATAGAAAACGGGGAATTTCTTGTCCAAGTCGTTGTTAAATGTGCATTTGTGCTTCGGCGTGTTTCAGACTGACCGACTGTTTGTGTCTCGCTCCTTCTGATGCACAGACGCTACGAGAGACGCTCAGTTTAATGTCCCAAAGAAAAATAATGAAAACCCGGAAATTTACATCATTTTATAAAAAAAAACAAAAAACAAAAACGGACGGCCAGGACACGACGTGAAAAATGGACATGTCCGGGGAAAAACAGACGTTTGGTCACCCTGTGAAAATAAGTTTGTGAACGGTCAAGTTCAGGATTATTTTTATGAACCTGTTTTTCTTTTGTTCAAAACCTGTAACAGATAATATTGGAAATAACAGTGTAATGACTAAAGTATTAGTGTGTGTGGTCATAGAGCAGAAGCAGCACAGTTCAGTGTAAACTGTTGTTCACGGTCACTCATGACTTTTTCTGTCCTTACAGAATTAAAGTGTCTCTGTTCCACCAAAGCCCTGGCTTCTGTCTTCACGTGTGTTACATTTATCAAATCCACTCAACATGTGGATTAGAATTCAGAGCAACAAACTTGTTCAATGTCTCTGTTTCTGTTTCCTTCATTTGATCTTTTGCTACAGACAGAAAAAGTGTGACTTTAAAATCAAATACAGACTTAGTTGATTGAATGAGTGTGTTTACATGCACATCAGTGTCCTGTTACGATCGGGTTTTTGGAGGATTCCGTTTTTTTCATGGTGCATGTGTGACCGGTGTGTCTCTCTTTTTATTTCAAAGACCCACAGAAGCTGCTGGAGTTTGGTGTGACAGCAGTTTATTCTGCACAGAATCTAGGAAACATTTGTTGTGAATTGATTTGTAGTGGACATTCATCATGTGTTTCATCTGTAGAAAACAATCATTTATTATCCTCGAGCAAAACTAAGCAAAACTAAGAAGGAAAAACACGATCAATTCAAATATACTGTAAACTGACTTCAGCAGATTGTGGCCAAACAAACATAAAATACTTCAGTACAACACACAACTGTCAGCTGAGCAATAAAATATCTACACATGAGTGAATTAATATTTTTGTCCACACAGTTTCACAGCCACGTGACCTCGTCTCGAGTTCTCCAGAACAAATAGGAGAACTCAGAGTTCGCATGAGTTTAGTAAGTGCAGGTGCGGCGGGCACCAGGAGATGGCGCAAGTTCACAATTTATCAGGATTTAACAACTCTCATATTAACTATGTTACACATGTACACACAGTATCCCAGTTTCAGTGTCCTGGTTATGAGAAACTGTAGCTGGAATATTCCGATAGTAACTGGGAAACTGTGACATGTAAACGCAGTATCCTGAATACTGCAACGTAAAGTTGAGTCACATCTTCATCACAACATAACGACATAAATAAAGTGACAAACATAAATAAAGTGACAAATAAAGTGACAAACAAAGTAAACATAAATAAAGTACAAAATAAAGTGACAACATAAATAAAGTGACATAAATAAAGTGACATAAAGTGACAAACAAAAAATAAAGTAACTAAAGTGACATAATAAAGTGACCGACACATAAATAAAGTGACAGACATTAATAAAGTGGACAAACAAAAAAAATAAATAAAGTGACATAAAAACATAAATAAAGTGACCGACATAAATAAAGTGACAAACGACATAAATAAAGTAAATAAAGTGACAAGTGACATAATAAAGTGACGACAATAAAGTGACAACAAAAAATAAAGTGACAAACATAAATACTAAAGTGACAGACATAATAAAGTGACAAACATAAAATAAAGTGACCGACATAAATAAAGTGACAGACATTAATAAAGTGACAAACAAAAAATAAAGTGACAAACATAAATAAAGTGACAAGACATAAATAAAGTGACCGACATAAATAAAGTGACAGACATTAATAAAGTGACAAACAAAAAAATAAAGTGACAAACATAAATAAAGTGACCGACATAAATAAAGTGACAGACATAAATAAAGTGACCGACATAAATAAAGTGACAGACATTAATAAAGTGACAAACAAAAAAATAAAGTGACAAACATAAATAAAGTGACAGACATAATAAAGTGACAAGACATAAATAAAGTGACCGACATAAATAAAGTGACAAACATTAAATAAAGTGACATAAATAAAGTGACAAGACATTAAATAAAGTGACAAACAAAAAATAAAGTGAAACAAAAATAAAGTGACAAACATAAATAAAGTGACAGACATAAATAAAGTGACAGACATAAATAAAGTGACAAACAAATTAAATAAAGTGACAAACAAAAAATAAATAAAGTGACCGACATAAATAAAGTGACCGACATAAATAAAGTGACAGACATTAAATAAAGTGACAAACAAAAAAATAAAGTGACAAACAATAAATAAAGTGACCGACATAAATAAAGTGACAAACATAAATAAAGTGACAAACAAAATAAAGTGACAGACATAAATAAAGTGACAGACATAAATAAAGTGACAAACAAAATAAAGTGACCGACATAATAAAGTGACAAACATAAATAAAGTGACAAACAAAAAATAAAGTGACAGACATAAATAAAGTGACAACATAAATAAAGTGAGTGACTGACATAAATAAAGTGACCGACATAAATAAAGTGACAACATTAATAAAGTGACATAATAAAGTGACAAAAAAAATAAAGTGACAAACATAAATAAAGTGATAAAGTGACAACATAATAAAGTGAAATAAATAAAGTGACGACAAGACATAAATGAAATAAATAAAGTGACAAACATAAATAAATAAAGTAAAGTGACAAACATAAATAAAGTGACGACATAAATAAAGTGACAAACATAATAAAGTGACAAGACATAAATAAAGTGACAAGTGACATAATAAAGTGACAAACAAAAATAAAGTGACGACAAAATAAAGTGACCGACATAAATAAAGTGACAAACATAAATAAAGTGACAGACATAAATAAAGTGACAAACATAAATAAAGTGACAAACATAAATAAAAGTGACAGACATAAATAAAGTGACCGACATAAATAAAGTGACAAACATAAATAAAGTGACAGACATAAAATAAGTGACAACATAAAGTGAAAACATAAATAAAGTGACCGACATAAATAAAGTGACAAAACATAAATAAAGTGACAGAACATAATAAAGTGACAACAAAAAATAAAGTGACCGACATAAAGTGACAATGACAAATAAAGTGACAAAATAAATAAAAAATAATAAAGTGACAACCATAAATAAAGTGACAAACAAAAAATAAAGTGACCGACATAAATAAAGTGACAAACATAAATAAAGTGACAGACATTAATAAAGTGACAAACAAAAAATAAAGTGACCAACATAAATAAAGTGACAAACATAAATAAAGTGACAGACATTAATAAAGTGACAAACAAAAAATAAAGTGACCAACATAAATAAAGTGACAAACATAAATAAAGTGACAAAGTGAACAAAACATAAATGACAAGTGACAGAAATAAAGTGACAAACAAAAAATAAAGTGACCGACATAAATAAAGTGA